AATCCAAATTAACAGAGTTCGGTTCTCCCCAGGAAAGTTAAAATCTGTGAAGAGGGTATGCCTGAAAAATTAAGATTCCCATACTCATTATCCATCTAGATTATACTAAAGCAAAATGAATGCAAAGACAAAAGTATTTCTTTCAGTTGGAATGGATCAATCATCATTATCCAGGTAGCAATATATGATAACCATAATGATGCACCATAACGACCCCTACTTAGTAGTATGCAAACATAAAGTCATATAAGACTGATCTACCAGAGCCGAAGAAACAATGTAATTGAATTACAAATATTTAGGAGCAGGTACGAACAATATTGAGTGATATTGAAAAATAACCGCATATATCATAAATAAGAAACATTTATATATCATGAATAAATGTCATGATATTGAGTGAAATTTTTAAATTTTAAATTATCACTCCGAATTAATGTTTTATATCTCAATTTTGTTATTAAACTTTTTGATCTTTAGTCGATGTAATTTTATTAATTAATTGTTCAAATTTGAAGATATGCGTATCTACATAAATCATGGGCGAATTTGGAGTGAATTACAAATTTAAAACGTAATCCCTAACTATGGTCTAGATCGTTTTCTTTATAGGTGATGATTCTCTCAAAATAATTTTTAGCATCTAATATAAATTTAAGATAAAAATACATATTTACCCATTTCAAATATAATATTACTTTTCATTCTTTCTTTATCTCCCCCCCCCCCATGGGCAATGCCAAAAAAAAAAAAAGAGAGAAGAAAATATCTGAAAAATTGTCATCTCTGATTCTAACGCAACTCATATAAAGCTCCATGGTTTTACTGTTCCACCCAAGAAAAAATGAATAACTCAGCTTTTGCTCTCTTAAAGTGTTATCTGTTATATCATAATTGATATCGACCTTCTTTGCCTTAAGAAAATTTTTGAATCAGAAATAATTACTATCTGAAACATATTGGTTTAAAAAAAATCACTAAAATTTAAGTTTCTAAGATTGGAGATCGACTTCTTTCTTTGTGGCAACAATTCACATTAAATTGGATGAATTTTTATCATAGATTTCTTGGTTTGAGTAATATAATTCAACTTAACCCATGTTTCTCCATCCAACTACAAAAAGTGAGCATTCTTCTTTGAATTTCAAATTTCTGGCAATTTAAAGACCATTTGAATTTGTTATGAGGAGGTGCAGCGGGAGGGTGAGAGAGATAATGAAAGATATTGTTACTTTTTAATGGGTTGATATGTCATTTCTTCTTAAATTTATTTTGGATGCTAAAAGTTATTTTTGGCAGAATTATCACCCTTTCCTTATATAACCACCTTAATTTGAGATAATCTACATAAATCATGGCCTAGATATTTTAAAGATTTGCCTAAACTTAATGTATATGGATCATGCAATGGGATCCTTTGCATCTCGATATCATTATACAATTTCTCTGTTTACCCTTGTAATTCTATCACTCGGGAATGCCTAAAACTTTTCCATTGGGATTGGGATTTGAGTGGGGCGGTACAAAAATGCACTGTGGTTTATTCGATGTGTTAACTAAGTTCAGTTTGATATGGGAAGTAATTCCAAATTGATAATGAGAAACTGAGTTCGAGTGATTTTTTTCCAAGACGAAATATTATACTTTCCAGTTCATTGCAGTGTCATTATTTAGCAGCAATGAGACAATCAATGAAAAAGTATAGTGTAAACTAATAATGATTGATGTGTCTTTGGTAATTAAGGTAGAAGTGTAATTTTGTAAGGAAAAATATATAATTTCTATAAGAAAGTGGCAACAAAATAGGACCAACTGAGTCACTATTTATTTTCACTGTATATAGTCACTATACTTATCATTTTCTCATTATTTAATTACTCGCACCTATTTTGTTTTTGTATATAATTTTGGAGGAGAGTACATCATATATGTGTATTTGATCTCGTGTATCTCATACTTGGTAAATTATTTCAAACCTCAAATGGAAGACCTTAACAAATTCTACATAACATCAACCGCATGGTCATCTAAAAAAAATTTAATTCTAGTAAAAATTAGATGGAGCACGACAAAGACTAATTACAATGATTATTTCGGAAGAAATCTTTTAGGTTGAAAACAAAGCAGAAAGCCCATAAAAAGATGGCCACCCCAAAATAAAAAGGAAAAACAACCGAATATATCCTTTAAAACTTATCAAAAAATTTGTTTGGCATTACGAAAAAATATTTAATATTGTGATTGCAAATTATATATTGATTTATAATTTGAAAACAAACTTATGTAACATTCATGACAAACATGTGGCATTTTAAACTTAAAGAAAATAACATTTAATTTCCATTTTTATTTTGTTTCTGTTAACTTTACCCGAAAAATTATATGGACACAGAGTGCTACAACCAGCTTATCAGTTTAGAGAAAAATTATGACGTCAAAGCGTTACGTGTTCAGCACGAATCACTTCTGTCTTCATTGACATGCAAACAAAGAAGTGTTTATGAAAATATCATTGGTGTTGTATCCAAAGGCATGGGTAGTTCTTTTCTTCCTTTACGGATATGGAGGTACTAGAAAAACGTTCATATGGAAGACTTTGTCAGCATCCTTGCGTAGTAAAGGCGAAATTGTTTTGAACGTTACTTCAAGTGGAATTGCTTCGTTACCTCTCTCCGGTGGTAGAACGGCACATTCGAGGTTTGGCATTCCTCTTATCATCAAAGAGACGTCTGTGTGTAATGGGACACCAGGCGAGGATTTGGCTGAACTCCTTGAATGTACGAAGTTGATAATTTGGGACGAAGCCCCTATGACCCACATACACTTTTTTGGGGCGTTGGACAGGTCGTTGCAGGACGTCATGCGTCGGAGACACCCACGGACATGTCGTAAACCCTTTGGAGGAATTGTGACGGTATTGGGAGGTGATTTTTGACAGATACTACTGATAGTCCCTAGAGGCAGCAGGTATCAGATTGTTGATGTTGCAATAAATGCGCCAGCACTGTGGGACAAATGTGAAATCCTGAAGTTGACTAAGAACATGAGACTCACCCAGGGTGCTGATCCTGAATCGTCAGATGAAATAAAAGTGTTTTCTGATTGGTTACTCAAGATCGGTGAAGGAACCGCTGGCGCTCCTAATGACGGGGAAGTTGACATTGATATCCCGGAAGACCTCCTCATCAAACCAACAGGTAGACCTATACATTCTGTTTGTGAAGCTATTTACCCGAACATACTGTCTAATCTGAAGGTCCCAAACTTCTTTGATGAAAGGGCTATTTTACCCCCGACCAATAATGATGTTGATGCTATCAATGAATATATGTTGCCACTACTTACTGGAAAAGCGAAATTATATTACAGTTCAGATAGTATCGAAGAAACCTCGAAGTCATTGAATCCTAATGATGATGCCATTTATACCATTGACTTCCTCAATTCAATAAGATGTTTTGGGATGTCCAGCCACAAGATAACGCTTAAAGTTAGTGTACCGATCATGCTTCTTCGAAATCTAGATCAGCCAGGAGGATTGTGTAATGGTACCAGACTACAAGTTAATGAGTTGGGAGAACGTGTCATTCGGGCTACGATTATATCCGGAGCAAATTTGGTAGGTAATATTTCATCCCACATATGGATATAAGTCCCTTTGATGAAAGAATGCCAGTTAAGCTTAAACGCAAGCAGTTTCCAGTGGTCGTGTGTGTTGCTATGACGATAAACAAGACCCAGGACAGTCGATTTCAAATGTGGGTTTGTTTTTGTGACGTTCAGTCTTTACACACGGTCAACTCTATGTTGCCTTTTTCCAGGTAAAGTCCAGAAAGAGTCTCAAAGTTCTCATTTGTAGCAAAGAAGAAGAATTCGGCAGCAGCACAACGAACGTTGTCTACAAGAAAGCACTTCAGAATATATGAATTTTGTTTTTTTCCCTTCAAATAATATCTAAATATTTGTGTTATATTTTAAAATACTATTTCTACGAATTTTTTTGATAGTGTTTCAGATTTTACATATATTGTTTACTTTAATAATTTCCATTTCATATAGAATTAGTTTGAAACAGTTTATGCATAATATCTAAAAATCACCGTGCAACGTACGGGTATTACACTAGTATATAATGTAACCCAAACAAACGAAATGTTCAAATCTTTTTTATTGGTGCCCCATTTTTTTTTTTACATAAAAAAAAGTATTGGCCATATCATTTGATCACGATGAGTTTGTTTATGTGACAAAGAAGAAAGACAAAGCCAAAGGTTATTTGTTCTTATTTGTTAAATTAGTTCATGATCTTTTTTATTTACAGTTTTTACTTACCCTCGTATATTCGTAAAAGATTTCATCACAATAATAATAATTTGCCCAGAATATTTAATAACTGGAATGTGCAAACTTAATCTATTGGAACTTTTACTTTCATACTTGGAGAAGCCAAAATCCAAATAATGGCAAGGAACCTTCAAGAATCGCATCAAGTAGTTTTCTGATTGCTTTTTTAGGTTAAATTCCATCAATGGGTTGAAACTTGAAAGCCGTTGATGTTACTCGTACTAAAGTCTAAATCAACCTTAATCAAGGTTTAGATAAAGCGTGGACTATAGGGAAGTAGTAAGATCCACTCCATCGCAAATCATAAAGATGATTTATCTAGGTACGTAATGTAAAAAGTAAAAACATTCTGTGCACGAGAGATTTCATTCATTTCCTTCGTATACTATTACTCTCTGTATAAAAGTAATTGTTTCATTCTGAAGGTGCACAGGATCAAAATAGGGCGTTGTTTCCTTAAAAATGATTTAATTTTTCATTTTAGTATGTTTTGAACTAAAAATAAGAATTTGAATCGGGTAATAATTTTAAGATGGAATGTGCATACTTTTATGAATTTTAACCAAAAAAGATAAAATTAAAAAAGAAACGAAAGAAGTTTTGTAAGCCCAAACTCCCAACGAAAGAACACAAAAGAAGACAAAGGGAATAATACCAAAAAAAAAAAAAAAAAAAAAGGGAAACCTTGGTCAGCTGTGATTTCCACTCTATAAATGACTGACACGCCGAAAATCATCTCCGATCCATTTCCTCCACCTTCCCTAGTCTTTCTTCACAATCACACGAAACCCCTCTTTTAAGTTACAAATCCAAAACTCTCTCCCTTTATTTCATCATTCAAATCTCTTCATAAATTACTAGTTTAGTACCATGAAATTTGACACAAATAATACATCACCACAAAATAAAGAACAGAACCAACAAGAAGAAGATGATGATCATCAGGATATTAATATTAGTACTAATGATGAAGTAGCTCTTCTTCCCAAGGAGGAGGAACAACAGCATCGGCTAAGTTATATACCTCCTCTGAATTTTGCAGTGGTTGACAATGGCATTTTTCGTTCTGGTTTTCCTGACTCCCCAAATTTCAGCTTCCTTCAATCTCTTTCCTTGCGCTCCATCATGTTAGTACTACTACTTCATGTATATCTTTTGTGGGTTTTGTTTGATTTTAAGAATAAACCAAACTTTTTGACTTTTGGGATTGAATTTCTTTTTTTTTTTTTTTTGGGTTCTTTGGATTTGCAGATATCTATGCCCTGAACCATACCCAAAGGCTAATATGGAGTTCTTGAAGACAAATGGGATAAGGCTATATCAATTTGGCATTGATGGAGCTAAGGTTAGTCGATCCATCAGTTAATTAAATTTAATTAACTACACTGTTTTATTGGCTTTCTTTCTTCTTCTTTGGGTTCATTGATTGATTTTTTTTGAACCTTCAAGTTAGATTGTTTCTCCATTTGATTTGGATTTGGTTTCTTTGACAATTTATGAGCCTTTTTGAGATATGGGTTCTTGATCATCAAAATAAATAATGCGATTCAACTTTTGTCATGCAAAAAACTTGTAGAATCTGGAATATATGGCTACCTACTGGATTCAAGAATTGTCTGATAGATTTACTAAAATGGTAGAGGATAAAGTTGGTCCCTTGATATTTTTTTTTTTTCTTTTTTTCAAAATGGATCTTCCGTTGCTACTTCGAATATTCCATTTGATCCGCTTCCACTTGTTTTCTGCATTCCTTTGATGATGTCTGTCTGTCCATTCTTAATTAATGAACCTTTTTAATTACATTTTTTGAGTAAGATAATGGTTTTTTTTAATGATAGTCATTTTTTGTTGTACTATCTCGATACGATAAACAAGATAGTAATTATTTTAGGCGGAAGGAGTATTTGCTTATTTTATGATTAATTTTAAGGCCAATGCTTGATTAATTTATTTACTTTACTAATGTATTATTAAGCTTACTAGAGTTGGATGGATGTCTTCTCAGAAAAGGAAATAAAAAAATGTGTTGTATGGATGTAGTGTAGCCTATTCGTCTACAGGAATGCATGTCCAACTTGAACTACTTTTGTTTATGATTTTCACCCTAAAAAATGAAATATGGGGAGATTAATGGTAAAGATGCAATTAGAACGAATGAGTACCCTCAAGATTTATAATCATGAGCAACCATCTATCAAAAATTATCCTAAAATCTCTACATATAGCTATCATTCTCCTCCTCCTCCCCCCTCCAATAGTTTCTATTTGTCCATCATTGAATGTTATAATTCTTGATAATTTAATAACTTGAGAATAGTCGGAAGAGTGAATCCAGCTCCTAGCAGTATGCTACTCTTATACTCCCTTTATTTCAATTTGTAGGTCATTTTAGGTTTAGAGAGATTTTTCAAAATGTAGGTCGTTTTACAAATTATAGACAAATTGATGACTATTTTTTCAATTTTACCCTCAATAAATGATGCTAATTTATTTTCTTTTAGTCTTGTTTATAGTTTCAATGTAATTAATGATGGGTAAAATAGATATTAAATGTATAAATTAATTATTGAATGATTGTCTCCTTAGTTTACGTGCAAAGTCTAAAATGACTTATATTTTGAAATGGAGGGAGTAATAACTTTTGGATTCACAGTTATTTTATACTCTTTAAATAATTAACACGAATCTAATCACTTATTTAAATTAGGTTTATTTATGATTCTGTTAGAGAGTTAATATATTACTTATAAAAACTTGTATCAAACTTTGGAAAATGTCATGTAAACGTAATACCAAACGTTATATAAAATGTAGTAAAATTTTTCTTTTTCTGTATTTCTAGTAGGAGAGGAGAGACTTAAATAATTTTCTTTCTTCATACTAAATTTTTCACGTACTTTAACCGTCCATTACATGGTGAACTTTCTTTATTCTACCTTGTTACCCTAGATCAGATCAGTTCTGGTAAGGGAGGCCTTCCTTTTACGAGTTTAAGAAAAGTAGATAGAGAACAATCTGAAAAATTACTCTTCTATTTTTAAATATATATCGTTTTAGGATTTGCAAAATTTTTGATGTCATTTCATAGAATTGATGCAATTTTTATTCTATTTTTTTAATATTATCCTTACATTGGAAATGAAGTGATATTTAAAATAAAATTATGTTGGTTGGTGATGAATTATATGAATAATAAATAAGAACAATTATATATTTTAAACAAATGATTTAATGTTCTATTCATATTGATGAAATTGCTCAGAAGACATATATTTTGGAATAGAAGGAGTAATAAATAATTCAAACGGTGTCCAACCACTTTCAGAAAGAAAAATAAGAAGATTGGTAGATTGAGCTCAAAGTAATCTTGAAATAGAAAGTATTTCTTCCATTTTATTCTTATAATCCACAAACTTTGTCAAATCGTAACTATAACAAATTGAATTAGTAAAGTGAGACACCAAAAGTATAAGTAAATTTCCATTATAGCACCATGGATTTATATGAGTACAGTGTTTAGTATGATCATTTGTGGGTGTGGATACTACTCCTCCATCCATGAACTAATACAACAAATATGACAATTATTTTAGGACGAAAAATTAAGAGAATTCTGCTTCTCTCACAGCTTTGGATGTTAACAAACTACTCAAGACTTTGTTTCCTGGAACATATATCAATCTAGTTCTCTAACTTTATTTCAACTGGCATCGATTATTTGTTTGTTGATGATCAATACGTATTGAGAATCTGTTGGACTTGCACAGGAACCGTTTGTAAATATTCCAGAGGATACAATTTCTCAAGCATTGAAAGTTGTGATTGGTACATAAATTAACCCCTTGTGCTTATAACTTTGCCTTTAATTTCTTTATCAGGTTTCTTTTCTTAGAAAGTTTCACTTAAACTGAAAATTAATGCATCTTTTCTGCCTGCTGCATTGCAGATGTTAGGAATCATCCTCTGCTGATCCACTGTAAAAGAGGAAAGGTTAGTGCATTATCATTATTTCGACGATAATTTTCTGTAATAACACTAACTTTGTGGAACATTCATTGAATGTGACTTGGGTACCGATTATCTTTGGTTTGTTTTCTCATTTATGTACATAGCACCGAACTGGTTGTTTAGTGGGATGTTTAAGAAAACTGCAAAGATGGTGTCTAACTTCTGTGTTTGACGAGTACCAACGCTTCGCGGCTGCGAAAGCCCGGATCTCAGATCAGAGATTCATGGAGCGGTTTGATGTGTCGAGCTTCAAGCATCATTCTCTCTCGTTTTCCTGCTCAAAAAGAGGTTGTATATGAATGTGGCTGAGGTACAGCTTTTCTGGCGGAATATTGATATGTCGAGCCGAAAACGGGGTTAAGCATCGATCTGTTGTTGATTTGATTCATAATCTTAACGAAGTAATCCATCGTTGTAGTTTGATTTTTTTGGTTTCATTTCCAGTTTTGGATTAGATTTGATGTATTAATAAGTTAGTATGGATCAGATCACTGCTCATTCTTGATCATCCTGAATCCTGATTGTTCCCGCTGCAAGTCAGCTAACCGAAACTACATGTTCGTCCTTAGGGAAAGGAATACATAAATTAATTCCTCTTTTTTTTTTTAATTTTAATAACCAAAATTACTTTTTTTTTTAACCTCATGATTCGTGCAACAAAGGGTTTTCGTTTATGTTAGATTTGCGCCAGTTATTACAAAAAAAGCAGACAATTGCAGTAAATTTTTTTCTGTCTAAATCATTTGTAAAAACACCAAGTTTTTTTTTTTTTTTTAACAATGAGAGGAGGCAGATGTCTAAAAAACTAAATCATTATAGATTGTTGGTAAGCAATACCAACTATATCATGATATAATCAAGTTTTGTTCTATCTAAACATTACAGAATCACAGTACATAATGTTTTTGCCATAATGAAAATGAAGGAAACTATTTTTTTTCCATCGGAAATATCACGTACTACCTTTTGCAAAATGTTATGAATGATTTGAGTCGATTGAGAGTCAACAACTAAATGTGCAAAATAGTAATATTTGGGAGAATACATATTTGTAGAGCTAAAAGATCTTTAATCAATATAAAATCTATAAAGTTTCTCAATTGCTCAACCTCAAACACACTCTACCAAAGTAACAGAAATTCAATGCCATTTGCTCTGCACGTACTTTTGTTCTTCGGTAATTACTTTTTCTTTTTCTTTTTTTTTATGGTTACAAAAGATTTATGCTACTACTTTTATATTTCCTTTTTTTTTTTTTTAACATCTTTTATATTTCCCAACAAAAAGAAACCTTGCCCAACACAAGAACTCTCTCATTTCTTTCAAAAGCAGCCCGTCATTCAGTTACCTATTAAAGAAGGAAAGATCTATTTTTTCGTTCATTTTGGACAGATTAAATCCCCGACTTTTATCAGCTAGAATTTAAACCAAATACTATTCTGGTGAAAAATGCAGAGAAATGATGATTAATTTACCCATTCTAAAATCTAAACAAATCGTAAGTTAATTATGAGTCTCTTCTGATATGTTGCCGCGTTGACTATCTGTAATACTCCCTCCGTTCCTTAATATAAGGCATTTTGATTTGTCGTAATTTTCATCTAGTACGGATTTTTAACTAATAAAGAAGTCTTAGTAATATTTTTTCGCATTTATCGTGTTTTCTTGATTATTATGAAATATATATATATATATATTTGTCAATTAAACATGCTTACTAAGTGAAATCTAAGATAAATCAAAATACCTTATATATGTTAAGGACTAAATGGAGTATTTGTGTACAGTTTGAAGAAGGTAGAGGCAGCCGGCATCAATACAGCCGTGAAAATGATAATTGTATATATTAGGGTTTAGTATACGTTCCTATATATACTCTCCAAGGCCGTAACTAGGTAATATAATACCGTAAATATACAAGTGACAATTACATCCGTAATACCCCCTCAAGTTGGAGCATAAGGATTAATAATGCCCAACTTGTGCAAGAAAAATTCAAACTGTTACTTTCCTAAAGCCTTAGTGAAAATATCAGCAAGCTGCACGTGAGTCGACACATAATTAGGAAGAATAGTCCCAGCAAGAACTTCATTGCGAATAAAATGACAATCAACCTCAATGTGTTTTGTGCGCTCATGAAAGACCGGATTAGCAGCAATATGCAAACCAGTCTGACTGTCGCAGTACAACTGGATAGGCAGCGAATGAACAACGCCAAGACACCGAAGCAGAGATTTCAACCATTTCAGCTCACAGATAGTAGAAACCATGGTGCGATACTCAGCCTAAGCAGATGAGTGAGCAACCGTCTGTTGCTTCTTAGTCTCCCAAGAAACCGGAGAAGAACCCAGCTGAACGAATCAACCAGTAAAAGAGCGACGAGTTAGAGGACAGCTCGCCCAATCAGAATCACACCAACCAAAAAGCTGCAAATCTGAATCAGCACGAACGAACAACACGAAGGGCAGCATCCCAATGAGCCTGCATAGGCTTCTGCATGAATTGAGACAAGATGTAAACTGAATAAGACAATTCAGGACACGTGACAGCCAGATAAATCAGTCGTCCGACCAAACGACGATATTGCAAAGGATTCGAAAAAGGAGTATCAGCAGCCATGGAGAGATGGTGATTTTGCTCGAGTGGAAAATCTGCAGGCTTAGCCCCCAACAAACCCATCTCAGAAATGATGTCCAAAGTATACTTGCGCTGAGAAAGAAAAATGCCAGTAGAATTACAAGCTACCTCAATACCCAGAAAGTACTTAAGGACCCCAAGATCTTTCATATAGAAACAGCGATGCAAGTATTCTTTGAAGGAATAGAGAGCAGCGGAATCATTACCAGAAAGAATAAGGTTATCTACATAGACCAAAACATTGATCTGCAAGGCAGCACGCGACAAAGTGAACAAAGAATAATCAGAAGTAGATTGCTCAAAATCGTACCGACGAGGGGCACCGGCCAACTTGGCAAACCAGCACCGAGGAGCCTGGCGTAAACCATAGAGAGAACGCCGAAGATGACATACAAAACCAGGCTGAGAAGAGGTAAAGCCAGGTGGTAACTTCATATAGACTTCCTCAGATAAATCACCATGAAGGAAGGCGTTATGGACGTCCATCTGATGAAGTTCCCAACCTTTGGCAGCAGCAACAGCCAAGAAGGTGCGAACGGTCACCATTTTTGAAACAGGGGTGAAAGTCTCATGGTAGTCAAGTCCCTCAATCTGATTATTGCCCAAAATCACAAGGCGAGCCTTATAGCATTCGACCGAACCATCAAAGTGATATTTAATTTTGAAAACCCACTTGCAGCCAAAGGCTCATTTTCCAGGAGGAAGGGAAGCCAAAATCCAAGTGCCATTCTCCTCAAGAGCCTGAATCTCCTACTGCATTGCAGTGTGCCAATGAACATCACGCATAGCCTCCACAAAATTGCGATGCTCAACACCTGTAGTAATATTGGCCAAAAAAACACGATGCGATGGAGAAAAAGAAGTACAACTCACATATTTGTGCAAGGGATAGGACGAACCAGAGGAAATGGATGAAGCGAGTGAGGTGAGAGAGGGGCTGTCGGGAGAAATGGTGTGCGCCTTGTAATCAGTGAGACGGGTAGAGGTGATACTTGATGCGATGACCTCGGCCCAAAAGTTCCTCCGGTGGCCCACTAGAAATCAAACCCCCCTGTCATCAGAGGCAGAGCGAGCAGAAGTATCCCCAACCAAAACATTTTCATGTAAAGACTCACAATCCGGTGAGTCAGATGGCGGAATAACACCATCATCATAACCAATCACAGGAGAAGGAGGAAACAAAGGAGTAGATGCATTAGCGGGTGAAGAAGACTGAAAAGGAAATTCAGCCTCAGAAAAGACAAGATCTCGCGAGACAAAATTCCTTAGACTCCAACTCATAGACACGCCAACCTTTCTTGCCAAATTGGTAACCAATAAAAACACATTTGCGATTGTGATTGGCAGATTTATCTCCTTTCCGATGTTGGTTATGCACATAACACAAGCAATCGAAAGCACGCAAATGGGAAAGAGAAAGAGGGTGGTCATACAAAATTTCACAAGGAGTTTTACTGTGCAAAACACTAGGAGTCCGATTAATCAGTTATCCAACAGCAAGGATGCATTCACCCCAAAACTCAATGGGCAAATGAGCCTGGAAATGTAAGGCACGAGTAACATTGAGAATGTGTCGATGTTTACGCTCCACACGCCCATTCTGCTGAGGAGTACCAACACAAAAAGTTTGGTGCAAGATGCCATGTTGACGAAAATAAACATCCAAACATGTAAATTTAGTCGCGCCATTTCCCTAAATAGACCCCAAAAAAAACGGGAAGAAATTTTTATTTTAATTATTTTTTTGTGGTCCTGAAAACATGTGTCGGAAATGCGCTTTCTATTTTTTAACTATAATTTACAAAACGGAATTTCAATATCCGTTTCGTTGTTTTAATTTTTAAAATAATTGAAATTGAAAAAAATAATTTCGCTCGAAATAAAAAGATAGGAAATATTGGGAAAAACGTAAAACGGAAATTGAAATTCCGTTTCCTTATCAACCACAAAACGGAAGACTCAATTCTGTTTTTTGTGTCACCCTAAAAACGAAAAACGGCATTCCGTTTTTCTGTTATCAGGTTGTCAGATGCATTATTGGTCTGACACTGATAATCTGTGCGAATCACTGGTGTCACAGGCTTTGATCATAAAACCGAAATTGTAAAATCCGTTTTTAGATTTATATATGAAGAAGAATTGATACTGTTACCAGATCTGGAAATTTTTGAACGGGAAGAAAAAAATATGAAAAGGTCTCCAATTTGAACCTGTTTTTTACGCCTAAAAATTGTTATCGTCAAGGTTAGTATTGCGTTGATGTTATTTGTTTCCTTTAATCATATTGTATTAAATTAATTAATTATTGGTCTTATTAAACTTGAATTAGAATATTCAGTGTAAAAATATTGAATTTATTAGGAAATTTGATCTGGACTATTTTATTAAAAAATCTGGACTGTTTTTTGAAATATTGGATTGTTTATGGAAATCTGGACTGTTTTATTAGAAAAATATTGGACTGTTTATTTAAATAATGGACTGCTTATGCAAATCTGGATTATTTTTTAAATGCTGGATTGTTTATGAAAATATGAACTGTTGTATTCGGAAATAACTGAACTGTTGGAAACAATGCTGGACTGTTTATGTAAATGTGGACTGTTTTATTTGGAAATGATTGTATTATTTTTTAAATGTTGGACTATTTATGAAAATTTGTACGGTATTATTTGAAAATGATTGTACTGTTTATAGAAATTTAGACTGCTTTTTTTGAGAAATATTATATTTATGACAGAAAAAATGGCATGGAATGGTCTAGATCGAATGTAGAAGCAACAACACCAGCAATACTGGATGAATAATTGTGAACATGTAGAAGTAAGGCCTAGCAGGAGCAGCGGTGATGGATACATTGCTGAGGGACATGGTGGGGGTCAAAATGATGACTTTGATTCATCAGATGAGGATGATGCATCAGACGGGACTTATGTAGAAAGCGAAGAAGAAGTTGACTACCAAACTGATGTGTCAGACGAAACCGACTTAGAAGAAGAAGAACAAGAGCAGGAGCAGAAGCAGTGCAGAACTTATTCACGTTTGGTTGTGGTCAGCATGTTTATTCAGACATTGGTGATTATAAAAATAGCATACTGGATCGAGATGAATTTGAAGTTAAGATGTGGAAAGGTGATAGAGAAAACCTTGATTTGAATACCTGTTTCAACAACAGGGATGAAGTTGAGACAGCTATCGAAGACTGGAACATACATCACAACAGGCAATTTTATGTTCTTGCTTCTGGGCGTTAGTCATGGGCTGCAGAGTGCGCGACAAGAAGAATGCAAACTCCAATCGGGCATTTTGACCAACTTTTGCTACACCATACTAAATTTAATTTGCACTTTGACCAACTTTTGCTTCTTACTACGTTATAAACCCCCGGTCGAGTAGTATCATAACCCAAATCAGCAGCAGAATTGTCCCTCCCAGACAACAAAAAAAGAAGAAGCATTTTCTACGAAAACATTCTGTGAGAAAACATTTTTCCGCATTTAATAATAATGAGACCCAAGTGGTCCAGCAAATTTCTTAATTATGATGATGAATGTTGTGTATTTGGAAGTGGTAACATATTTTGTATTTGGAAGTGGTAATAATAATGAGACCCATGTTCTGCATTTAATAATAACATATTTGCTTATTTATTTTGTTAGTGTTGCTTTGCACCTATCGTTTTCTAGTTTCGTTCTGTCTCCATTCCTTTTGTATTCTGTTCTGACAGCCTTGATTGTATGTTCTGTTTTTTATTTCAGTTTATTTGGCAACCTTATGAAGGAGTGGAGATACCTGAAAGATGTACACGGGGTTGGGATTATTGGCAATCCAACACTTGGCTAATTTGCTGGGATATCGTTGAACCGCATCAAGTTGACCGTATGATGCGACAATTTGGCTTGAAACAATTGATCCCACCACAACCAATGATCGCTGGTTTCAAAGAATGGGAAAAGTTGCACAAGTATGGTAGGACTAGAAGAGCTGGGAACAATTGGGAGTTTCATCATCGTGAATACATCGAAAAATGGAACAACAGGGCGAACTCCATTGTGGCTGGGTCTCTGAGTGGTCAATCTTCAACCGATGATGATTATCTCACGTGGTATGACACCAATACCATCAAATTTATCAAGGATCCCAATAAGTACAACTTTCAGGAGGAAGGGTATCGTGAGCATTCGGATCGCGCAAAATTCTATGCAAGTATTCTTCTTTTAGGGTTTTGGTTCTGTTTTTTTTTTTGTTTATATTCTGAATTTTCAGGATTTTTAGCCTACTGGTTCAGTTTTTTAATTTATATTCTGTTTTTTAGTTTATATTCTGAATTTTTATGCTTGCAATGGATGTTATGATGATGTTTATGTTTTCTTTATTATGATGTTTTTCTTATGACATGCTTGCTGATTTTGTGCTTGAAACGGGGAAAGGGGAATTGTATAGTGGAGTTTGGTCAAAATTTGAGAGGGAAAAGGAAGGAAGTTTAGGACTGTTTGGAGCTTTTGCAATTGTAGGGAACAAGGACTTAGTTTAGGACTATTTGTTTGTTCTTGTGGCTTCTTGCCGGAATTCTTCTTTTAGGGTTTTGGTTCTGTTTTTTTGGTTTTTTGGTTTATATTCTGAATTTTCATACTTTTTAGCCTTCTGGGTCTGTTTTTAAGTTTGTATTCTGTTTAGGTTCTTATTCTGAATTTTTATACTTGCAATGGATGTTATGATGATGTTTCTGTTTTATTTATGATGATGTTTTTGTTATGACATGCATTCTGGTTCTGTTTTGAATATTTATGATGATGTTTTTGTTATGACATGCATTCTGGTTCTGTTTTGGATAAAATGCATTAGGTTCTGGTTACTAAATGCAGCATGCTAGTTGTTTCCTTAGTTTCATGCATTCTGTTTTTTTTGTTTTTTAATGGTTAAATTGATTCTAGGCTGATGCTTTGAGCGACGTCTGCACAAAGGTATAAGACTACTCTGCGTCAAAAGAGAGGTGCCAAAATTCAGTTTGTATGGATCTCATTCTTGAACTCGCTGCTCATGCTATGAGTGCTTTATCCCTTGGAGCACATGAGTTGCCAATTTTGAAACCCACCCAATCGCTTGTTGATATTCCACCACAACCTTCTCAACCGGTTGGCAAAGTTCACAAGCGAAACATTCCTTACCGTGGGATTGGAGGAGGCAGGAAGAAAATCATGGAAGAAGAAGAAGATGAAGAAGAAGAATATGATTTTGAACTCAATGCCGATTTGCTTAAAACTCCAACCGTCCAAAATGAAGCCGGAGCCAACCAAGGAGGTGAACCTACAAGTATGGATGTGGATGTTACACCGCCATTGAAGCAAACTACTCTACCTTTGGCTTTAGGAAGGCCGCGTAGAAAGATAAAGAAAGTCAACCACTACACGCCATCCACGGCCCAAGCCAAGCCACCCCTAGAGGAGGAATAATTCCTTTATTTTGATGTTTACCTCTACTGATGAATGTTGGAACTTTTGTTGATGTAGTTTTTTATTAAAATTTGTTACAATTATAATATTTTGTTCAATTGATGTGTGAGTTTAGGGTTTATGTTGATGTTGCTGTCTTGGTGTTGTTTGCCTTCGGGTTTATATTTTGTTTCTATCTTTTTAACAGGATTGGCAGGCCAGTTCTCTTTTTTTTTTTTATGTCTACTATCTTTAAAACGGAAATCCAACATCCGTTTTTATTGTTCTATTACTTTTAACCAAAAACGGAATTTGAGTTTTCGTTTTATATTTCCGAAAAATATTTACTTCACAAATTTTTTTTCCCATTTCCTTAAATCAAAATTTACTAAAACAAAAATGGAAATGTTTAATCCGTTTTTATTAATCAAAGTAATTATCAAATCCTAATCCTAAAGAAACGGAATTCGCAAATCCGTTTTATGAACAGTTCATAGGAAAACGGAAATCGGAAATTCCTTTTCCGACACATGTTTTTTCTGACCACTCTCAAATTTGTGCTTATATCAGTCCACTACTTCTTTCCTGGACATATTTAGGTAAATGACACAAATTTGGTCCCATTATCACTACGAATAGTTTTCACACAAGTATCATATTGGCGCTCAACCATGGCGAAAAAATCACGCATGGTTATAGAAACTTTAGACTTATCAACTAACAAGTAGATCCAAGTAGCACGGGAAAAGTCATCAACAATTGTCAAAAAATATCTAGCACTAGAAAAGGAAGGGATCCGGTGCGGTCCCCAAAGATCACAGTGAATACTTGAAAAACAGCATGAGTTTTAGTAATACTGATAGGAAAAGTATCTCTGGACTGCTTGGCCCTAAAACAAACATCACAGGCCTTATTAAAATGACTACTATCTTTCCTAGATCCAACAGAAAGAAGCTGCTCTAAAACCTTCGGAGACGGATGTCCCAAACGTTGATGCCACAAATCAAAGGAAGATAACCCAGTAGCCACCACCGTTGCAACAGTCTCAAGATCCCGAAAGAAATAAAACCCCTCACATTGCTCATCCGTTCCAATCAAAGTCCTCGAATTTAGGTCATGTACAAGACACAAGTGATGAGTAAAGTGAGCAATATAAGAAGAATCACGCAGCGGTTGAGATACAGAGATTAAGTGACACTGTAATTGAGGGACATAGAGAACATCATGTAACACCATAGTGCTACTTAGAACCACAGAACCGGCCTTAGTTGCATAAGTGCAGTGGCCATTAGGTAAATGAACCGGAACCGAAGCAATATCGCGAACGTCACAAAAAAAATCAAGAGAACCCGTCATATGGCGGGTTGCGCCCGAGTCATATATCCATCGAGCGGATAAAAACTTACCGGATAGCTTAGAAGTCGACCCAGAATTGGCCGAATGCAACATATTAATTAAAGAGGACCATTGATCTTTGGTTAAATCAGTGAAAGCACCAGATTGATCAACCGGACCAAAACCAGGCGAGTGAGCCATTGTGGTTGCCCCAGCTGCTTGAACCGAACAGATTGGACCGGAGGAAGGATTAGAACCAAATGGATCGGATGAGGGAGTTGAACCGAGAGTACCCCAGACCGAAGCTGACCGCCAGAACCACGTCCTCTTCCCCGACCTGCAGGCTGATTCTCGGGATAACCATGAAGTTGGTAGCATTCGGTGATTCATGGTTGGCTTTGTGGCAGTAGGAACATATCACACGATCCTTTGACCCCCGGCCCTTGGATGTAGAAGAACAGCTGCAACCGGTGCTGCCGATTCACCGCCGGAAGTTGCAGAATTATGGGCGCCACCAAGACCGACGGCAAAACTCATAATTTCGGCTGGAAGCTCCTTCTGCTGGGCCGAAGGAAGCTTCTCCTCCTGAACAACGAGCGAGTAGGCACGGCCAATTGTCGGCAAAGTCTCGATCGACAAAATTTGTGATCGAACAGACCCGTAAAGATCAACATTCAGACCCATTAAAAACTGATGAAGCCGCTCGTTTTCCCGATGAATCTCCAGAACGGCGGACATCTTCACTTGACAGGGAGTACACAAGGTGGAGACAGACGGACAATCTGCATCGCCGATATCATCCCACAGTTTCTGAAGTTGGCCGTAGTAATACTCAACCGAGGAGGCACGCTGCTTGCACTCCGCCAAATCAGATTTGAGTTGCTGAACGCGAGAGCCAGTCACGACGGAAAATCACTGCTTGAGATGATCTTATAAGTCAGCCGAAAACTCCTTCTGCGGAATCGTGGAGCGAATGGAGAGATCAATCACGTTCAAAATCCACGACGTGATCAACGATTGAATGGTCCACCAATCCTCCAAATTGGAAGCTTTGCGTGGCTTTGGAATTGATCGATCAACAAAACCAAACTTCTTTCTCGCCCGGAGAGCAATCCTCACCACCTTGGACCATTCATCGTAATTAGATTCACCTTTAATCCCGGAGAGCAATCCTCACCACCTTGGACCATTGATCGTAATTAGATTCACCCTTTAAATGAACTTGGGTGATGATTTGGCCAGTATTGTCGTTGGAGGTCATATCACATTGTGAACGGAGGAGGAATTGGAAGTCTCATCCTCATCCTCATCCTCATTACGTTCTGACATGATCTTACGACCGCTCCTCCAGAATGGCTGGTAATACCACTTAAGGGCGGATAGACCACCCAGTTCCGCTACCCACTTGTACTAAGGCTGAGCTTAATAGGAGCAAGAGACTTGGTGGCAACAACCAGAATGAAATATTATTTAATCGTGGAAATGCCATGTCAGATGCACCTATCAGAATCGGAACAAACCAATTACCAAATCCACCTATCATTGCCGGCATAACCATAAAAAAGATCATTAAAAAAGCGTGAACCCTTATTAAAACATTATAAAGTTGATGATTCCCACCAAAAATTTGATCACCGGGTCGTGCTAATTCCATACGAATTAGTACTGAGAAGCATGTGCCCATCACTCCAGCAATGGCACCGAAGATGAAATAAAAAGTCCCTATATCCTTGTGGTTAGTGGAGAACAGCCATCGGACCGGATTTGTCATAAAATTGAGATTCTTTCGTTTCCTTCCTTATCAAGGGGGCCCCCTTAGGGGGCGGAGCGGAGCTTATTTCTTGAAAAAAAAGGGAGCGAGGGGGAGGAAATCTAGAGTAACGAAAAAAGGGGCTTATTTCGGACTCACCCTAAGAACCTCAATCAAGTAGAAAAAAAAAACGTTGAAACCTGCTCTGTACCATGTAAAGTTTGAAGAAGGTAGAGGCGACCGGCATCAATACAGCCGTGAAAATGATAATGGTATATATTAGGGTTTAGTATACATTCCTATATATACTCTACAAGGCCGTAACTAGGTAATATATACCGTAAATATACAAGTGACAATTACATCCGTAATAATTTGTCTATACGTTTTTTATGCATCTGCAATTTTTCTTTCATTTTTTTTCCCTTGAAACTTGCTTCTGCTATAAAGTGGACTCGCCACATTCAGATCCTTGAATGGGCTGATCGTATAATCTGCAAGAACAAATATGAACATTAAAAATTTTTCTCAAATCGCTACCAAAGTTTGTCTGACTACTTAAAAGAAGAATAAATTACAAAAGAGAGATACCAGTAAAGAACAACTTTCTGATTTATATTTTAAATTCCAACTTGAAACACTTTTTGGTAATGTAATGACTATTTTATAACTACAAATAGTTCATTGACAAATTTGGCAAAATTCCGTTGTTGAGTGATTGTTTTTGGAAAAAAAAAATTTTTGTAGTGACTATGACTATAATTGACAATATTTAATTGTTTAGTGATGACTCGTACTTGATATTTTCAAAATGTAGTTCAAAATATTTTTTTCAAAATCAACATCCAAACAACTTTTTGCTCAAAATACCATCCAAACAACATTTTTATTTCCCATTTAGTTTTCAACTTAAAACACTTTTCACTTTTAAGTGGCAAAATAAAATGTAAAATGACATCCAAACAAGCACATAGAGAATGTAAATCCGAACAAGACTGGAAATGATATTTTTAATTTCAAGAAACAAAATATATTTTTAGTAAAACCAAGTTGAAATAGTTTTGGAATTGTGTGATCCAGTTACTAATAATATACTGTAATAGTTTGCAGGCACAAAAAAGTCCAATTTTGATAATGTCAAGTACTACCGGAGATATATAAATTCACGCCCAACGAAATAACTTGTAACTCCCAGTAATAATTTTTTACACTTGAATCTCACACTCTTACCAAACCCGACAAAATGAAAAAACCAAAATCACGACAATGAATTTGCCAACAAAAGTAGAAATTCGAAAAACAGATTTCATTCAAAACCAAAGGTGTTTTTGGCCTAAGCATAATTTGTTGGGGAAGGTGGTGACCTTAATAGAAGAAAAATATAATAATAATAATATATAAACTTGGAAAAGATTTAAGAATAATATTGCCTTGAAACGCTAAATTAATTGCCACTTTAGCCACATTATTGCACTTTTTTTTTCAAGAAAAGAAGACCAAAATTAATTGAACGTTGTGGATTCAGTAGAAAACAATGAAAATAATATCAGGGAAAACAATGAAAACAATGAAAATTGAATCATGTTATTGAGAAGAAAATATAATATTGCCTTCAAATAAAGCACATTCCGGTGTGAATTCAGTTTCACGGTTTGGAACTGAAGTTTTGGAATCCGGCAACTTTAAGCCAGATTGCTAGTACTTTGGGGCGTCCTCTTACAGCTGATGCTATGACAGCAGCAAAGGATAGAGCGAATTTTGCTAGAATTCTTGTTGATGTAGGGATTCAAGACCTCCCTCCTACTAAGACATACTTTGTGGATGAGGATGGTACTCTGATGGAACAAGATGTTTTCTATGAATGACGACCTACACTCTGTATGCAATGCAAGAGTTATGAGCATGGAGAGGAAGTATGCCGGAAAAAGAAGATCGAAAAAGAGAAGCAGAAAGAATATTCTGAAGAGCCTAATGGAAAGAAACCTGCTACTTCTGAATGGAGAAAAGTGGTCAATAAACAAGTGAAGAAAACAATGCCTGATGAAACGCAGGAAGTTGGGGAATTAACCAGAGTTTCAATACTGGATCGTAGGAACAGGCCACAGGAAACTGGAAATGAGGGTAGAAATGGCTTCCAAGTTCCAAGTGCTGTCAGTACTAGATGGAGCAGATGAACACTTGGAAAGCCTGACAGGCCAAAAGCAAGTGGTGGAGCAAGTGTTCGAAGGTGCTAAGAGAGGTAATCCCCCTGACCCTGGAAATTAATGTTAAATATATTACATTGGAATATACGGGGTTTGGATAGCTCTATAAAGGAACGGGAAGTACGTAGACTGAGTTCACTATGTAATACTCCCTCCGTCCCATAATTATTGTCCACTTTGCCCAAAAAATTTTGTCCCAAAATTATTGTCCAATTTGACTTTTTATGGATCAAATTACACATTTGTCCTTAGTAAAAAACATTATCCATAAAATCTTAGTGATTAAAGAATTACTTATGTAGGGGTATATCCGGTTGTTTAAGGTAAAATATAATTAAGTTTGACCAAAAATAAAATCTTTCATTTTAGTAAAACTGGACAATAATTATGGGACGGAGGGAGTACTAGTTTAATATCTATAGTAGAAACCAAATTGAATAGTAGTAAGGTGAAGGAAATGCTACATAAATTTTGGCCTGGTTTTATGGGGTATAGCAATAGTATGAATCAAGATAAAGGCAGGATTTGTTTGCTCTGGGATCCAAATGTTATTAACGTGAGAGTGTTGCAGCAGCAAAGTCAATATATTCACTGTTGGATTGAGATTATAGCTAGTGGAACTTGTTTTGTATTTACAGCAATTTATGCTTTGTATACGCAGCAGGAAAGGGGGGATTTATGGGAGAGTATGAGAATTCTTGCTCAGGATGTTAACACATCTTGGTTAGCTCTTGGGAATTATAATAATGTCCTCAAGGTGGATGAAAGGATTGGGGGTCGCAGGGTTGAGTTAAACGAATTTCTAGGGTTTCAGTTTTGTTTGGAAGAATGTGAACTTTTTGATATGAAGCAACAAGGGTATAGATATACATGGTCCAACAAGCAGGTTGGAGAAGGTAGAATCTCATCCAAGATTGACAGGGGACTGATCAACGGACATTGGATTGTAGAGTTTCCAAGCTCGATAATGTCGGTGTTATCTGAGGGAGTATCAAATCATACCCCGCTTTTAGTGCAATTGGATGGAGGGATGGTTCAGAGGCCTAAGCCTTTTAAATTCTTCAATATGTGGGCGCAAGATCAACACTTCCGACCAATGGTGCAGCAGAGTTGGTTGCTCCCTGTTAAAGGTACTGCAATGTTCACGCTAGTGACTAAGTTAAAAAGGCTCAAAAGAGAGTTGAAGTTCCTCAACAAGCACAAGTTTGCTTATATTCAACTTAAGGAACGGAAATTGCTGGAATATCTTACTCTGATGCAGGAGACGATTCATTTGAATGGTGGGAATGCATCACTACATAGTCATGAGGAAGATCTGAGGAAGAATTAAGAATCTTCATCCCGTATCACAAAGATACATCTACACACCAATAAGTGTGAGTGATGAATTAGAAATTTCCTAAACTTTTGCCCAAATAATTTCAAAAAAAATCATTACTCTGAAATAAAATCTCGCAATTCCGATATTCATCTTATTGTGAATTTCATAACTCAAAGCTCTAGTATTCATCCCTATTGTGGTAATGTTCATCTATATTTTTTGTTTCTCAATCATGAAGCTAATTATGGATCTATCCAGCTCACCACAAATCTTTTTTTTTTCATCACAACCCTGCCTAAGGAAAGGAAAGAAACCCCTCTAACATTGCAGGTGATTTGTTCTCATCAGTTACTATGAGCCAAATAAATCAAAGCAACAGGAACGAACAATCAATTAATCAAGGAATCGTGATATTTTCCATTAATGAACACAACAAGTAAGAAGAGCTCACCTTCATCATATTCCAACTACTTTTGCCTTGCATTGATTTACCAGAAACAACCTTTATTGTAGCCATGAGCCTGCTTCTCAGCTTCTGTAACAACCAAAGATATAGTTTGCTAAATAACTAAATAAAATAGGTGAAGGAAAAAGAAGCAACCGAAAACGCTTAACAAATTCAAGGATTTTGTCTTTAAGAATCATGACCTTGGCAAGTTTATCAGGGCAATTGACCTTATAATGTTTCGCAAATTGGCTTATACCGTATAGTCGCTACCCAAGCAGCAAATTGGCTTTAGGGGAAAAAAAAAGATCAGAGATCTAAAAACCAATCAGCAACAATCAATCAACACCAAAAACCAAAAGGTGATAATTGGTTCTCCAGGAGAGGCGTAGCAACCTCTCTAAGAATCCAAAGAGAGAATCAAGGAGAGGCCAAAGAGACCACAATACGAGCTGATTATTTGAAAAGATAATACTGAACGGAAAAAAAAAAAAAAAAAACACGATCAGCCCATACCTTGAAGGTGTTGGTCGGAGGTTCTTGGATACAATGATTCCGGAAAAGGGGCAGAATTTATCAGCTGCTGCTTTGCGGAGCTTATGTTGAGAAGGGAAGTGTGATTCTGGTTGGATGTTTCGACCTGTTTTTATAGAGGAGAAGAAGAAGTTATCCGACTTAATTCGTAATCCTTTTGATGGTAGTATTTGGAAATTACCTTTTGAATCCGCCATGACATTGGACTGATGATGACAGGAGGCAAACGGAATTGGCATCGCCACGAGTTTCTGTAAGGTTGAGAAGGGGGAGAGCGAATTGGAGGCGGATTAGGAAATTTTTAGGGTTCATGTGAGGGGAGATTTGAGGAGGAAGAACTCGGAGGGGAGATTTGAGGAGGAAGAACTCGGTGGTGGTCTGATATGGACTGTCGGCGGTGGTGGTCTGATATGGACTGTCGGCGGTGGTAGTCTGATTTGGGGAAGAATGTCGGGGGAGTGTCTTATTAAGGAAGGACGTGATATCCATACGGCCGCGCTTTAGCTGGTGGGGGGTTTGGGGGATTATTTTTTTTTTTTTTTTTTTGCAGATAAGCCCCTTCCAAACTACGTCGTTTTGGGAAGGGGTTATGGAAAAATCTTATTTTTTGAATTTTTTTTTTGTAAATAAGCCCCTTTTCAAACTACGTCGTTTTGAGAAGGGGGGTTATAGTATAATTTTGTTTTTTTGATTTATGCATATTTATTGAAAGACTATTTCAACCCAATTAAAAATATGATGTAACTATGATGCAAGGATAATGTCACGTGACAACCGCCCGACCAATCAGATTACAAGAAACTATTTTGCCAAGCCTTGCTTTTTATATTAGCTTATAGATAAGGACTAAACTGTTATTCTTTATCTGTTCGTTCAAGCAAGAAAAACTCTGAAAAACGAAGATTTGAAGTAGTTTGGCAAAACTTGTAAATAGTACACAGGAATTTTGTTAGAAAATATCCAAACACTAGAATCCAGTAGGGGTATCATATTTCAGTGCGTAGTTGTGGACTTATGCCTCTTTTGTAATAATAAAAAATAATTAAGAGTATGTTTATTTCGTTTTTTTAGTGTGTGTTTTGTTTTTTTGTATTGAAAATGTAAAAAGGTGTATTGAAAATGTAAAAAGGTATGCTGTGATGGGACATATATTATTATATTATTCTAAAAAAACTATGAGAAAAAGGAAACAAACAGAGCGTAAAATTTTTAAAGAGTTGAATATGCCAAAAAAAAAAAAATTCGAAATACTAAAAGTTCATATTAAATAGAGAAACTAAAAACAAATTCCATAAAAAAAAACTAAAAGTTTATATTAAATAGAATCGAAAAACTAACAAACAAACAAAAACAAATTCCATCAAGTATTATTGAGAATATAGAATGTAAACATTCGTGATGGCCTAACCACACTACAATCATATTTTAAATTCTCAATCTCACTATAGCAGATTCTACAACTGAGCCTATCCATAAGGATCCACGATCTTCATGAACATGGCTCGCATGTCTCCACATTGCTCCAGTAGGATCTTGAGGCACTACAACAATTTTCCCATTTTGATCTAACCTTGCGATCATCCCCAATCCAGTAAAATTCGGAACTCCTCTTGAGTTCATGGCCACCCAAAAGTCACCATTCTGGTTCTTTCTGATGTTGTCCGGATTACCCGGAAGTTGTGCAAATAGTTCAATTGTCCCTGCGGATTTTCCCGGTGCTGGACGAAGCCAATATCTCAAGACTCGGCCATTAGTAGTCTCCGTCACTAAAATAAAATCACCACGCTGACTGAGTGCGACACCATTCGGAAACATGAGCCCGTTTGCAAGAACTGTTACTGCTCTAGTTATGGGATCATACACCAACAATCTTCCAGTATTATCTCTGGTGGATAAAATAGACCCATAATCTTTACGCGGATATTTTATGCTACTGTCTGTAAAATAGACGAGACCATTAGTCTGGTCGACAACGACATCATTCGTCAGTCGAAAAGGATGGCCCTGAGCCAAAGTTGCTAGTTGTGTGGCGACTCCTCCCTTAGGACCAACTACAAGTAAACCCCTATAAGCGTCCGCGATATAAAGTTCACCGGTTCTCTTATTAAAATCCAGCCCTAGAGGACGTCCGCATTTCGATTCTGTCAAGGTGTGATCGTGAGATCCTTCACAACTAGTCCGAATTGGAGTGGTAACCGCAAAAGTAATCCAGCGGCTTTGGATTGGATCCCACCTTAATATTCGGCCATCAAAAACTCCAGTGTATGGGCCACCGCCGGTTGGATCGAAAGCGATACTCTCAGGTCCAGAGGCATCGGGGATCGGGAATCTTTGTATCAATCTTGGTATACGACTAGCCATGAAAAAAGCGAGTGACGTTACAAAGATTTTATATAAACTTCACGAAATCTCGATGGTTTATCTTTTGCTTCCTCTTTTAGCCTAGAAGCTGGACGTAATTTGAAGAATCGCGAGAAGAGAAACCAAGCTTATTCGAGAATTGCGAGAAGAGAAGGATGGGATGATATGAAATTAAAATACGTTCGATCATACCATATTTATAGTGCCAATTTTGGTCTATTCCCAGTCGGGTTCAAAATTGTGTTTGCACGTAGAAATCTAATTGAATCAGTGATTGGATTCATGCATGGATTCAGATTTATTTTTTAGTAGCTCCTTTTCCATGTCTGTTTAGAATTTCGAATTTGTTCTGTTAGTTAATTATATGGATACTGGTTTTGAATTGAGTAGCCGCAGAACCAAAGAACTTCACAATGATAAGATAAAAATCCTATATCTATTGAGTCTGTTGTGACAAATACCTTGCAAAAAAGCATAAAGAAATTTCTTACCTTTCCTCCAAAAATATATATATCTGGAATCAAAGTGGCTGCGATTCTTTGTTTTTCTTCTACGTCTGTTCAGCTGCAGTATGAAGCATGTTTACTTGGATTGAACTCAGTGCTAAGAAGGGATTTCAAAAATTTCCATTTTTAAACTGATAACCTTCCGGGTGGCAAATGTTCCAAACTGTCAAAATAATTGTGCAGCTGAAGTGCATGAGATATTCCAAGACTACAAATTGATTTTTAAGGTTTTGCAAACCTTAATTAAGCTCCATTGATTCACCAGCATTTGGAAATTCTCTGTCCTGGTAGGAAAATGCTGGAGAAATCTAATAAAGCTTGTATCTTTTGATCTCTCTCCCTAATTTTAAAATACTCAAATTTGATCTTTGATTGAAAACTTCGACTCGTTGACCAGCTCGAACCTGATTATAAATGTTCTCAGCTTTCCTCATCACCTTAACCTCTCTCAGCTTCTTAGCTCTTTCCTTTCCAGAAGGGTGGGTTGACCTGTAATTGCTCTTGGAATCGAGATATTTCTGGCAAAACTCCGGCATACACGACGGGGGTCATAGCCAGCCGCGGCCATCAACATCATTCCTATCCGGTCAGCTTCCACTTCCCTCCTAAAAGAAAATGAGAAAGAATATCTGAACTCATTTGGTGAGCTATAATATTACAGAACATTCTGTTTCAATAGAATAGCTCATTGGCTAATGCCTAATGCATATGTATTTACACATAGGGGATTAAGTTAAAACTGGGAAAAAAAAAGGACACTCGATAACAAATGTGACGTACCTCCTGGAAAAGAAGGCGTTGATGATATCTATAATAGCGAGAACTCCCTTGATAACATGTACTTTGTTAACGGGGTCAGCTTTACTAATGATTATACCTCCAAGAAGTCCAAGCACAATTGACCTCGACAAAGATTCAGAGGAATGGCGAGCCAATCCATGTCCAACCTAATATTATTGCAGAATGATCAAACCGGGGAAATAAAACATGTAGTACTGAATCTACTGACCCGCAACATATGTAGAACATCAAGGATACATTTTAGAAAGTTGGAAACCAAATTGGATTAATTTAGTACCTCGTGAGCAAGAACGGTTGCCACATCTGCATCTGTGAAATCTGGTTTTTCAAGCCAACGAGCGTAAATCATGACCTCCCAGTTTAGTAGTTAAGAACAATAAGAAACAATCTCCTCCAAGGTAGAAGCACACAAACATCCACAGAGAGGAGTGAACAAACATACGCTCAACAAACAGCCGCAGCGCACTCCACCTTGGATTTCCAATGTATGCTTCAGTATGAATTATCTATCTCATCATTTCAATAAAATCCAGAAGCGTAGTCAATGATACCCGATACAAAATTCTATGTCAAAATAACTGCATGCCGAGAAATTGGTGAAAGTTCTCATCTGCCTATGAAGATAGTTAAGTTCAACAACATCATGGTCAACAATGCCTATTCGACCTGCAAATTTAAAGACAATTTACAGTTAATGAATATGCAAGAACAAAAGGTTGAGACTTGTCAGTGAGGGCAGCAGAAGCATCTTACCAACACCACAACGGGCAGGTACAAAAGTGCAGGTAACCCGGGCCTCCAGCTCCAATAACTAAAACTGACAATGTCAAGATATTTGCCTACTATTCAAACACCGGAGAACATGCAAAAAACAATCAACACCACTAAATGTGATACTATAAAATCTTTTATTTTGAAAGGCGTATTGATAAACTAAAACATGCCAGACCTTGAACTCCAAATGGAGTAAGAGCTGGCGGCTATATCTATAAATCATGTCCGGAGCCCATCCATGGCCAGTAGCAGGACCCAAGCAGGAGACTAACGCACACGTTGAACCATTTGAAGTGATTCCCCGTTTGAGCTTTGAGTAATCCTCTCATAATCATTATTGTTTAGTTTCTCAAGCTGAGCTTCCAAAGCGGATATTTGACATTCAACATCATTCTTTGATGATTTTAAAGACCCAAATTTTCTTTCAGCAGGGCTGACTGAGTTAGACTCCATGTAGTTGCAGAAAATATGAAAGCTCTAATACGAAGATCAAACAGAACACTTCCGCCGAGGAACAGAGAAGTAGAACCACTAAAGATGAGAGTGTAAAATATCATTTCGCACCGGCAGCGGAGGGTTTGACACATTGGCGGCGGTGCCGGAGGGAATGGGAAGTTAAGTGGGAATCGACGAATTGGTAATGTAAAAGGGCCAAGTGATTAAAAAGGAGGCCTAATTATGTATCGTCTAATTCTCAGAACCACAAGCAATGGCAAAGAAGAATCACAATACGACAAAACACAAAATGGGATCAAACAATGCACACTAACTAATAAACAGAAAAAAAAAACACAAAATCAAATGAAGCAAACGTAAATTTTTCCACATTTAAAACAAAAAAGAAAATTCATGAACCTAGAGTTTTAAATTAAACTACCCACCAGTTTACCGATGATGATAACCTGTTCATCGAGGTGATAATAAAAAAAAAAATCACGAACGTAGGAAAACATTGAAAAAGGTTCATCCTCATCACCTGCCAATATAAGGTAATATGAGAGAAAAAATATATAATGATATGAAAATTTAATGACAAAGTTACGACTAACCATGAGACAAATCAGAAGATGCATGAGAACTCTGCACCGAGAATCTGTAAAAATAAAAAATTGTAGCACAGAAAAATTTATCACCGGTCTAAGAAAACTCAACATAATATCCGATGCTAATATCCCAAGATCTATAGAAAGTTTGTTATTGCGTTCCACAAAAACCAACTATGTCACCAAAATTTCTTGCCAAATCAAATTGCCATATGACGTCACTATCATCCACCATAAAACGATCATGAGGTCTTTGTAAACATGAAATACGACCAAAAGCTTTTAGATATCAACTGCAATAACAAAAGTGTACACATTCATTGCGAGTCATATCAATTATTATTCAATCATATTAACTGCAAAAAAAAAAATAATAAAATAGCCGCCTTATCATAAGAGCCATTATCTATTTGAAGACAATATCGTACAGCTCCTGGCAATATAGGTTGGTGGCAATAATCAAGATTTTGAATTCCACAACGATCATGAGTGATAAATTTCAGTATTTAGTTCTCAACTACTATGATATGAAACTTTGATCTAGGAACCAAACCAACGCTTCGAGTGAATCCCAAAAATCTACAACAACAAAGCCTTCCTCGACCTTTACGTGTAATGAGGAATTTTACATAAAAATCACCAAAATCGGTATAAATATCATCGTGGATTTCCTCCCCTAAACAATGACGGCAATCGACTGGAGATTTTCTGTAATAATTATTCATAACAAATCAGGAATAGTTCATTTAAATTACGCAAAAAAAAAAAAAACAAAACAAAAGCACATTTAGGTATTGAAAAATTACCAAACCATTCGTGGCAACATCTTCTGGTACCACAGAGATGGCGTTTATATTAGAATTGTGACCATATTGAAGTTTCTTTGTTGGTATGAAATTGTACCATCTAACCGATACATCTTGATGCACAATTGCAAATTTTCATCTCTTTACAAACACAACAATTAATCGAAGTAATCTTTTCTATACCAGTTTTTAAGGGTGTCATTTCGCAATAGCGAACTACTCTCCTATTTTTTTATTAAAAAAGATATAATTCACATTGAAACTTGACATTTATAATAAATTTAATGTGAATTTTTTTTCTTTTGGACAGAGGGTACATAATAAAACATGTACGTGCATATTATTCCTTAGCCACATACAATTCATATCAATATATGAATTTTATTATTGCAAAAACTACTGAAAGAAAAATTACATACATGTTGTTGAGATTTGTTTTTTCCCCTCCCAAATTAGAATCCATCCAAACTTAGAAAAAAAAAAAAAAAATCCATCCAAACTACAAGTTTTTACTCTAGGATATTCAAGTCCAACAAAAATTACATTCAATAAACAGAGACTATGTCCAATATACTCTGGAGCATGTACTCCCCCTCCTATTTTTTGCACATGTAGTCCTTATTGTGCTTTTTTCTCAACTCTTCCTATATTTTGTAAATTTAGTCAATGTTACTTTTTTCTCTCTTCCAAAAAAACATCTCTAATCTTCAAACGAGAATATCTCTCAATCCGTGATAAATTAGAAAACATGTTGCACATGAATTTTATTGAATTTGTCGAGATCTATCTAACAAGATCCATATGAAATATTTTTTCGGGCTAAAAAATGATTAAATTCTGATTGGCAGAATAAAGGTGGATATCCAGTTTTGCAAGATGGGTAACGAACTTATTTTAAATTGGTTATCCATTGTGTTCATAGTGATTATCCAACTAGTTTGAACTGTTTATCCATTTTGTTTGTACTGCTTATCCATTTGGTTTGTATGCCTATCCAACTTGTTTGTAATGGATATCCCACTTGTTTGTATTGGATATCCATTTGGTTTGTACTGGATATCTATCCATTTGGATTGTATGCCTATTCAACTTGTTTTGTAGTTGTAATCCAATGGGTTTGTATGCATATCCAACTTGTTAGTACTGGATATTTATCCAACTTATTTTTACTGGATATCCATTTAGTTTGTATGCCTATCCAATTCATGTGTACTGGTTATCTAACGGATTTATATGACTATCCGAATTGTTTGTATCGGTTATCCAATCATTTTTTTTGTTTGGAAAAAATCATTGTCCAATACGCTAATACTGGTTATCCATTCTGTTTATGCTGCTTATTCAATCATGCTTTTTTCATTTGAAACACGGTTATCCAATGTGTTCGTAGTGATTATCCAATCGCTTTATATTGGTTATCCAATTACTTTTACTGCTTGTCTAAATAAGTTTCCGTTTCTTGTCCAATCTTTTTTTTTTCTTTTGAGATATTGCTTGTCCAATTAATGTGTTCCTACTGATTATCCAACCCCGTGCTATTGTTTCTCCAGTTTTTATTTTATTTTTATGAAAAAAATACTTGTCCGATATGTTTGTACGTGTTATCCAACTAATTATTACTCTTATCCAACCTAGTTTTTTCTTAAAATGGTCATCCATTGTGTTTATACTCATTATTCGACCGGTTTGAACTGATTATCCATTTCATTTGTACCGGTTATCCAATCTTTTTTTTTTTGGAAAATCATTGCCCAATGTGTTAATACTGATTATCCAATTCATTAGTACTGATTATCCAACCTAGTTTTTCTTTTTATTATGATTTTTTTGAATTAAAGATGGTTGTCCAACGCATTCATATTGATTATCCAACTGCTTGGTATAGATTATCCAACCATTTTTTTCTCTACTCATTGCGAAAATCCTTGTCCTATTTTTTGTAATGACTATCCAACCGTTTTGTATTGGTTATCCAATCGTTTTCACTGATTATCCAAACATAATTTCTCTTCTTTTTTTTCTTTTGATAAAATATATGTCCAATGTGTTCATACTGATTATCCATCCGACTTCTTGGTGATGGTTATCCAACCTTTTTTTCCTTGCTTTTTCTATGAAAATGATTGTCCAATTTTTTTGTACTGATTGTCTAACTAGCTTGCACTGCTTATCCAATTATTTTCACTGGTTATCCAAATTGTTTGTAATGTGTTCATACTGATTATCAAACTTCTTAGTGATGGTTGTCCAACTTTTTTTTCCTTTCTCTTTTATGAAAATGATTGTCCAATTATTTTATATTAATTATCCAACCAGTTTGTACTGTTTATCCAATTATTTTCACTGGTTATCCAAGTGGTTTGTAATGATTATCCACTCATTTTTCCCCTTTTTTCTGAAAAAATGGTTGTCCAACATCTTTGTAATGGTTATCCAACACAAATATTTGTTTATGCCCGGAGTATTTTAATTTTTTTATTTTTTGAAATTAATATTCAATATTGATGTTATAGGATAGATCTCGTCGAGTGCTATCAATTTCATGAATAATTCATTTTCTAACATAGATCAAGAGATATAGGGAACACAACAATATGAATGTAAAATAAGTTGGTTATCTATTTTCTTAAATTGGATATCCACCTTATTTCTTCCCATCAAAATTTAATCATTTTTAAGTCCAAAAAAATATTCTATATGGATCTTGTTAGATATATCTCGATGAGTACTATAAATTTCATGTATAACATGTTCTCTAATTCTTTACGGATCATGAGATATGGTTGTTTAAAGATTAGAGATATTTTTTAAAGGAGAGAGAAAAAAGTTCACAGGGACTAAACCTGCAAATTATAGGATGTTATTTAGAAAAGTGAAAGAAGTGTAGTAAGGACTAGTAATGCAAAAAATAGGAGGGGGAGCATGGTGCTCCTGGATATACTGGATAAATTGCCAATAAACACTCTGATAGCAATCTCGTAGATGAAGCAAATTTTGTTAATCCAATCATCAAACAAGTACGAAGATAATTTGTCTATCCCGTGAAACTCAAAAGAGTGCAGAAAATTCACAGTAAGACGATCTTTTATCTAAGGATTTCTATCTCTTAACTCAAACCAAGTAAAGCACACATATCTATGAAAGATTCGAATTAAACAACAACCTACACTAAGAATAGTAAGGACACCATTCAATATACTCGATCAGTCATCATTCAAGAGACTCAAGAAAGGTAGGAACAAACAATGCTTAACTATGAAGGAATACTATTAATTAGTAATCTCCATAACCAACAAAGATATGCAATACATACACTATCCCAAAATGCTTATGCCAAAGCACAACTCATCCAACAAAAGTAGGATAAACCCCACTAAGGAACTCATGAACACACACATCATGAACTCGAAAACCATAGCCAAAAGAAAGGCTCAACTCTCAAACTACAAGAAATAGTATGAAAATAAGAAGTTTAGTTTTAAAACAATTCTATCAAGAAACATACTTGAAAAAGAACAGTTTCTGCAAGATCAAAAGATCCAAGACAAGATGAAAACCCTCTTGGTTAAATCATACTTGACACGAAAAATGAACACACCATTTAACAAAAATTCCTCATAGGAAAAACTCTCAATAGAAAGACTCAAAATAACCACACACGGGTGCTTTAACTTTCGGCCATACCCCCCTCCTATTATAGGCTATGAATTTCGGCCAAAGCACCAAAAAGAAGACCAACTAGGACTCTCTAATCTTATCTCACGCAAGAATAGAAGTAGAAGAGTATTTCATCTCTTTGACTCTATCTAAAATCTAGGAAACCTTATCTAAATGACTTATCCTCAAATAGGATAATACTTAGAAGGAATCTAAGACTCCTAGTCAAAACACTCTAGCTTAATTCAGCCCACATGGTTTATCTTAACTAGATAAAATTCGAAATTAACTCCTAGACTAGATATATTCTAAATCTCGAAAATCAGCTCCAAATATTGAAGTAAAATGTCTTGAACGCCCTTCCAAAAGTGGAATATTGATCTTGCGCCCCTCAAGTTGTAGAAAAATCTAATTTACTCCACAACTTGTAGAATTCTCTTTATTGACTCCAAAAGATTGGAAAAACACTTGAAACAGTTGAGATAGTTTGCAACCAATTGTGTAGCAGTGGACTCAATCTTGCATAGTTTGATCAAATAGGCCGTCCATTCAAGAACCTAAATGATTCTTCTCTCTAACTTGATCAATGATCTTCATGGAGCACCTAGAGTCAAACTTCCTTGATACTCTTGAGCACTTATTTTCATTAGTGAATCTTCTCCTTTGGTTTGAACCCCAAAGTTAATGACATTCTCATCATCTTGATCATAGCTCCCTTGAACCAACTCCGTATCACATAGGTAGTCAAGATCCATCCTTTCTTCCTTGATTGGCCTGCAAAGGAAACTTGGCATTCCAAAACTAGAATGAAGGACTAGCTCATTCCCCTCACTAGGAGAATCACCATGGAAGGCAATATGATTCTCATCACACTCTCTCTCCCACGTTTCGATTTCACAAATCACTCACGTCGCTGTTTAACTTCCCAGTTCCTAGTTCAAATGCAAAAAGATCTTCAACCAATATTTGGTTTTCTTTTGGCATCCAACGAAGGAGTTCATTGTTAATATTATTTCCCCTCATGTGTTCGATGATTCTCACAGCGATGTCCATGACTTTATTTGAAGTAGAAATTATCGTACTAAAGCTCCAAAAGGATTAGAATGATATCCAAACTGATGGACAAATAAAACTAAGAGATAGTAGGATGTCACTAAAAAATCGAGTAATAGTTCCATGCTCAAGATTATAAATTCCCATATCCTCACCACCACCTACGCCAAAACGGCCTCCTCCTCTCCCACATCGATTCTCGAAGGCATAAGATTGAAAACAATCATCAGTAAAATAGATACAATTAGCCTTGATAACATCCGAAAATGCAGAAGCCACAATTGACGTAGCAGAACTATGACCAACAAAAATAGCATCCATGCCCAAATTAGAAATTTCCTCCCACTTGCACTTTGTCAAGTCTAATCGAATGACCTTAAAATTAGTAACACCATACATCAAATATTCCCGATGTTTAATACCATCGCGTGTAATGACTAGTAAGTCGCCGCTTGATGATTCCACGAGATATGCTTCCCTACGATCAACTAATTGCACATCGATAGAGAAGAGGACACGAGCAACACGAACAAATCGTGCAACCGTGTCCTCAGTTTGGGCCGACTGTGCAACGTTAACAAATGGTGAAGATTCATCCCATACACAAACTCCACCAGACGCAGTGATGGCAAAAAACTTTCCATTGCTATGAATAATATCCCACCAAAAGGAATCGGACGTGTTTTCTTCTACCTTTGTCCATACCAAGTCGCCGGACCTCCAAAAGCCCAAGGACGTACCAGCATGATAAATTACAGTTACAACAAAATCTGACATGTGCGAGGGATTAGCGGAAAGAGCAGCCCTGGACATAAATGTATATTTATAAAGCTGCTTACGTTTACAGTTACAAAAATCAGGGAAAGCAGTGCAATTGGGAAGCTGGATCTGAGAACAAGTACGAGGGTTAAATAAATCAATCTCACCTGGCTCTGAAACCGTTAGGAACCACTCAAATCCAGCCTCCACGCACTTTTTACCCTTCATCTCCGGTAGCGGTAATCGCATAACAATCTTTCTTCTCAGTAGACTGTAGAATTCACGTTCGTCGTTGCGGCCTTTCTCCGCGAGCATAAGCAACGGAACCCCTGTCAACGATTGGACAAACTTATCCTTAGTTGCCGGGGCTTGCAAAGAAGCACAAACTCCTCTAAAAGTCATGAAATCTTCCACCACCAGTATACGCTTCGCTATCTCTTCCAAAATCTCGTGAATTAGAGTCGACCAATCCCTAACGGGTTCCATGGATGGTAGAGTGAAAGGAGGAAAGAAGCTACTTTTCTTGATCTGTTAATTGATTTAATGGAAACGATGGAGGATTTATTTTCCACTGAAGAGCTATTGTTGGGTTTCTCTTTGGGAAAAAAAAGAAAAGCATGCGGCCAGAAATGCAGATCTGAACTATATACTCCCTCCGTCCCATAATTATTGTTCAGTTTGAGTTTTCATTTCTAGTTCAAATTGTACTAAAAGTGAAATCTCAAACTGAAAAATAATTTTGGGACAGAGGGAGTATATGTATACTCCGAGTTGGAACCCTATGCCCGTTGGATTTGGACTCGGTGATAACCAGTTAAAATATGGAATCGGGCTGGATTATATTTTTATCTCAGATATAGGAGTATTACTAGTCTTGGGTCGTCGCGCATTGTGCGACCAGTTCGTAATTCACAGTTGAAATAGTAAATAATTGTAACAAATATTTTTCTATTAAATAAACAAACACCGTTAATTTTAAATAAGCAATTTTAATGTGGAAGTTTTAAATAATAGAGAGGAGAGTAAAAGATATTAGATTATTAGTCATATGACTGGACTGTTATTTTTACTGATCGGACACTTTTTTGTAGACGAAGTTTCGAGTTCTATTGTAGATACAACCCGACTGAGGGCGTGTTTGATAAAAATTAATACTTAATTCTGAATGATTAATACTGAGTTAGGAATACTGAATTCTCATGAAGCAGTTACAGAATAAGCAATAAGCTACCTTTTATTGCTTATATTTTGTACTACAATTTCAGCACCACTTATTTCATTAAGAGGTCCATTTTTTGTTATAAAACATGCTGAAATAAAAAAATATTTAATCCAATAATTTTAAGTATTAAGTGACTTTATCAAACAAGCCCTAACTCGAGTATTTGTCACTGGCACTTATTGATGGTCATTGCGAAATAGAGCTTAAGTTTAATTTTAATTTATATTAATGTTGTGCTATTCCTGGTACACATTTTAAAACTAATCCGTAGGAAAAGTAGGTTTTAGGTTCTGGTTCAATAGAAAAGTGTTTTTTGGTCCTCTTTTTTTTTAACATGAATAATGCGTTTTAGATGATAGGTTTTAGGTTCAGGTATGTTTGCACCGAAAAAATTACCTTCAACCGTACGAAAGAAAAAGAAGGGAAAAAATCTCTCAAACGTAAAATATTAGAACGATTGTAGATAAGTTCAAAAACAAGCCTCAGACTCGGAATCGAGGACTTACGATTTACTTTGGTTCGTAAAAGAAATAAAAAGAAAGATATAGTGGAACAAGTCAAGTGGCGTTCAATTTATATAAAAAAGTGAAAAAAAAAAAGACCTAGCGCCGACAGGGAACTCCCAAGGTGATGATACGCTATTAAAAAGACTCGGATATTAGTGCCGACTAGACGTAGCTGATGACACGCTATGACACGGACCAGAGACACTAGCGCCGAGACGGAAGTCCATATCGATGGCACGCTATTATAGAGATATGGAATTCACTGAAGTAGAATCCATGAACGATTACCTATTTCTATGAAGGAAAAACAGGCAAACACCTATAGTGCGCTAGGGCTTACATTGAGAAAGACGTAAATAAAGACATGATAGTAAAAGAATTGAATGAAAAGGGCTGAAAAGATAAAGAAGTTATATTGAAAAGGACATAGTGAAAGGAACAGAACTGAAAAGAACTGAAAAGAAAGAAAAGATAAAAGAGGTGTCGGAGGCCTTGTGTTGATGTTGGTGTGATCGTGAGATGATGTTGATGTTGCGCGCTGCCTTGCTTAAATAGAAGAATAGGTCGGCACTTCTTGGAGAGAAAGATAGGTCAACCGCTTCTTGATTCCTTGGAGGAAAAGACTTCAACCCGCAATAAACTTCTTGTCACCTTCCTATATTAAACCAAATCCGACTGTGAATAGAATTAGCCTTCAAATAAAACACCTTAATTACAGGAAATATCCCATAATTAACTATGTCAGCGGTTGATTCCATTCACAATCCCAAGTTCCTCCGACTTCCGACTTGGACGGACTGCTGATTTTCGAATTTTATTATTTACGAGTCTGTTCATATCACTTGTTGGACTGACACCATTGACGAAATTGGTGTCAACAAGGTAAAAAGTTGTTTTTGTTCATGTACTTGCTACTGAATGAGTTCGTTTTACTTCTCTTCTTGAGAAATTTGCCTAAGAAATGGGCAAGATTGAAATTAAAATAACAAACAGATGTGTTTAATATAAACAACAAAAATTATATGATATTGGACACGTGATTTGACGTCTATTTTTATTGTTCAGCGAGGTTAAAGACATCTTTGTAGACGACATTCGGAGTCTTGTTGTCGTCTTCTAGCACCTCATCCAATGTAGGAGGCATGGCCAAGACTTTGGTTGTCTTCTATGTCTTTGTTTAGAATATGTACAATTGTCCATGAGGAATATCGATTCACGCAGATATAAGACCACGTATTTGTGTATTTTTTTCTCTATGTGTTTATCCGCCAACTGAATCCTGCCTTTCATAATAACTACTTTATGTTTTTGGTCAATCGTGTTGAAAATCATGCTCTTCTTCGCATCTTAGAATATTTAAGCAAGTTTTTTTTTTAAAAAAAATAAAATAAAAAGAACTAACACAACCATCTGTTGCACCGTTAATGATTTGTAAAGTTTCAATTGGTGTTGATCGCTATTATTAGCAACCCATTATTATGTTATTACGATCGTAAAGTTTTTGAATTGGTATCAATTTGTTTTATAATTAGCAATTACTTATTCTAGTAAGTGTTGTACGTCGTTTTTTTTTTAAAAAAAAATATTTAAAATTGCTGATTACTTCACATTGTGGACAAAATTGCAGCAAACGCCTTTCAAATCCTGCTCCCACAGATCTATTCAAAAATGGCATGGTAATAAACAATACAACTCATGCTAGTTATGTCACGGTCGAGCGATCATTACGCTTTTTAAGCATTTTATTTCATTCTTGTTTGGAAAAAATAAATTCAGACTTTATTTATTTATTATTAAATTCAGATTAATAATTGTTAACACATGAATCGCAATAAAAACTAAATTTTGAAACAGTATAAATCTCAAGAACTCTTGATTTATTATAGTAAATTTTAGCACATGCTCTTTCAAGACTAAATCACATTTAGTACATGCTCTGAAACTAATAAGCAAAACTTAAATAAATAATAAAAAAAGGTAACGTAGTTTTATATCTTGTGGTTCATCAATTGACAAAATTTTATCTGTGGAAATGAGCTTCATAATTTGTCAAAATTTTGAGTTGGATGTTAGTTGAGGTAGAGTAAAATCACCAGCCTTTATGAAAATCACATCAGAGCAGTCACTTTCTAAGTAATCCAATAGCTGGTACTTGGGGTCAAAAGTGGTTCATCTGGCTAATATTTATCCAGATCCAGCACAATGCTTATGAAAAGTAAACACTTCGGTCACAGGTGATTATGCCAATAATCTCTGGGAGCACTTGAATCTGTTGTGCCCATATGCATGCTACGCCCTTACTCTTAAGATGGAACAAAGTTGGCTCCTTTGTAACATATGTACTCCCTCTGTCCCAAAATTATTGTCCACTTTGAGATTTCACTTTTTGTACAATTTGAACTAAAAAAAAAAATTCAAATTGGACAATAATTATGGGACGGAGGGAGTATATGAAAGAGGAGACTAAGGGTATGTTTGTTTCGTTTTTTTAGTGTATGTTTTTAAGTGTTTTTTGTATTTAAAATGTAAAAAAGTGTATTGAAAATGTAAGAAGGTATATTGGGATGAGACAAATATTATTATATTATTCTGAAAAAACCATGAGAAAAAAGAAACAAATCAGAGCCTAAGTGTTGTTGAAAGAGGATTACACTTATCTTTCCATTTGGTATGAAAATGGAGTAGAATTCACTAAAAAGATGGAACCACTTACAGTTCCTTCAGAACATAATTATTACCGGGAGAGGAGGAAAAGGGGGTTAAACCTTAAACTTGGCCCATATATATATCGGCTTTGGTGTGCATTCTTCTCTTTCAACCACTTCTTCATGTCTTCTAGCTCCTCCTACACATTGATCAATTAGTCAATTTTGATTTATATGCAAACCAAAAATAACACCCCTCGTACCCCGACATATGTAAAACCATCACTCAAAGTTGAGAGCAGTGTGAAGTAATGTCCCATAGCTATAAACATCTCCAGGATGCCGCTGACACAGGGGCTTCGTGCCATTTAAGAAAAACAGCAGTGCTTCCTCCAATTATGTTAACAATCGGACAATAGATAATGAATGAAAATGATAAAATACCAGAGAATAAAAAAAAAACCCAAAGATTAAAAAGAACAGACTTGAAAAGTTAAAGCTGAAAAGAATAGGAAGACGATTTCAAATAGAAAATTCACTGTTATATTTAGCACACAGCTCAAAAGGATAACGGTGGGTCCCATTCATATCAGAGATTACTCAAGAACCTGAAGCTTTATTTACTTGGATTAAGTTCAATCTTTTTAGTCATTTTGTCATCTAAGGCCTGAAGGCATAACTGAATCCAAATCTCGCAAGTGAAGCTGAAAGAACAAATAAACAAAACACAAAATCCTCCTAATTTTTTATAAAAAAAACAAAAAACAAAATCCGCCCAATTTTTTTTTTCCTCTCAAAGAAAAAATTCTCTCAATTTTGTTTTATAGATGTTTTATTCAAATTATTAGTTGCACCAATAATATATTTCCCAAACACGGCCTAACAAGTAAAAACCTTAAATCAAACCGGAACATGGGCCCGGTTCAGACTTTCTTTTTGGTGTTATTTCCTTCGCTGGCTATTCCCCCGCCATTGTCACTCTCAGTTGGGTTTCTTGAACTCCCACATGAGAATCCATAAAAAAAAATGGCTCAGAAAGCATGGAAGATTATCCCAAGACCCCTTCTGGAGACAATTCTCAACAGCCATGTTCAGCAACACCGCGTCCCACAGCCTCTGATTCTTCACGGCCCCCGTGGCGTCGGCAAAACCACCCTCATTCTCGAACGTAAGTGCCAAAATAAGCTACTACGAAGCTCTTTTCTGATGATTTTCTGGACAATCGGTCATGGTTTTTGCTGCTTCCTTGTACAGGTTTGCTTGATAGATGGAACACAGAGCCTCATTTCACAGCGTATGTGGACTTGGCGGAGAGTATACAAGATCATCACCCGAAACATGAAGGTACATTTCCATGGGCGTCCTGGTCGAATTGCTCGCCTCCGCCGCTTTCATCGCTCCGTGTTCAGCTGGAGAACAGTCTTGAAGAGTTGACCGTAAAGGGAATTATGATGGGCAAGATTAATTCGCGCCAGATTTTCACTACTCTCAATAAATGGCATAATCCCACTACAGCGGTTGAGAGGATTTGTGGAATTAAGGATGATACTTCAATGATGATTAGTTCGACATCGGAAGGTTCGAAAAGAAGGAAAAAGAAAGTGTCTGCTGTTGCTGCTGCGTTGAAGCAGTTGTCATTGTGGGATATGGCTGTTTGCAGGCACTCTGTTCGATTAAATGCCAAAAAGAGTTCGGGGAGGGATGTGACTCCGGGGGAGCATTCCTATTATGGGGAAGCAATGGCTGCTTTGGATTTAGCTAAGGAGGTTATTAGAGTTCAGCAAGGGTGGAGAGTAAATGCTATTAAGCATTTAAACGCGACTGGCGGATTTTCAAGGCCTCTAGCTCATTCATCAACTGATTGGCCATGCTTATTGTTGGAGCTATTGTCAGATGCAGCTGAAGTAGACTACTTTCAGGTATTTTTTACTTGTTATTTTCGGAGGGCTTCATTGGTTGGCTGAGTGCCTTAACATTGAAATCAAAATTAATTGTAGTGTATTCTGACATAATAGCTTTTATTTACAATGTTTGTCTCTAATAACTGATTCAGTGTAATCTGCTTGTTTGGTGTATCTTGTCCTAATGAGCAGCCGAAGCTTGTGATAAACAACATTGACATTTTAAAGAATGCAATTTTGACGGATGATACAAGTGTCAATGCATCCATGTATCATGACAGCCTAATTTGGAGGATGATAGCATTATGTGTAAATGAGAGATGTCTTCCTGTTATCCTTGTTACATCAGACAGGTACTGGCTTTAATTCTTCCCATTGCATCAGGCATGAATTAAGAAGCTTTTATCATTAATATTTTACCACATACACCATTTTGTCACTGTTGACTTGTAGCGTTTTTGGTTCTGTAATTACTCTCACATCCGGTTCATATGTCATTTAAATGGCTAACATTGCTGAAATTGTTCCACGAGTTTTGCAGCTACTATTCTTATCGGGCATTTATTGATTTTGGATTTCCCGACATATTCATCTCTCGTGAGGTAAACTGAAATTTTCCTTTGCAACAATTTTCACGCTTGCATGTCCAGTGTCATGTTCCTGGAAAATTCTTCAATGTATTCCTTGGATGGGGTCTCTTTCTAATGTACCACCAAATACATTATGAATTTATCTAAGTTTTGTATAATATTTTCTCGAATGTATTCCTTGGATGGCATCCCTTTTTAATATACCACTAAAATATCATCATTCATCATGAATTTATCCAAGTTATTATGTAACATACAGCAATGGATGTATGATGTGATATTATCCAGCTTTTTCTTTGCTTACTGGATTCTGGGATTGCAGACATTTGGGTGGACTCCTGCTGAAGCAAAAATGCACATGGTTGATGATTATTTTAGTCCCTCCGAGGTATGATCAATAGAGAAAACCCATCCGTGCTCTGTGTCTGAATTTATTTCCAACATCAGTCTTCAGCTGCACTGAGTTACAGTGTTCTTTTTGATACTGCAGTGGAATTTACTTGTGGAGGCGTTAGGGCCAAATCCGCGGCATCTTTTTGAGGTTTATGCACTGAAGCTGAACAATTACTACAATAAGTAAGTTCTGTTGCATGCCTTGATATGTATATCTTATTGTTCATATGAAATTGTATTAGGTTTTTGTAGTCTTGAAGTGTGATTAATTTTAAATTTCAGTTACCAATATTTTTCCTTTCTTGTTTTTGGTCCTATCTGTTATTTGTCAGTTACTGTCATTTGATATACATGAATGAGTGTCTATCTGTTACTGTCAGTTACTGAATGAGGTCCTTGTATGAGTTGACAACTTCATAAATTTGTTTTACTGTTTATACTAGGAGGTCACTTTGACTCAAACTATGTTAACAGTTTCATAGATCTTGGGCAAAGTGGAATTTCAATCACATGCGTGATTTCACTTTTGATACACTTAGAACTAATCTCTTCAGGATTCAATCCCTTAATGTATACTCATCCCATCTCACATTTTACAAAACAGCTCTTTGCGCTCGTACTGCAACTTTTTCTCATTTTGAATTTGACTTTTCATATGTCATGGCTGTAGCGGAAAAAAGAAAGACCACAGCACTAATCCATATAAACCAGTCTACGTTTTTATTGTTGTCAATCAGTATCTCTGGCGGGAAATCATAAAGGGTCAATACTGACAAAAATTAAGAGTTGATTCATTAATTTGATAATTGGTTGGGCGGGTAAATCTCAGAAAGTGAAGTTATAGTGGGGTAATTCGTGGATTACGCAAATTATACCTCTTAGATTTTTGCAGTGTAGATTCTATTGTTAATAATAATCACTTTCGGATTTGTCCATACATCTATATCTTGTTGTTTATCCTTCTGAGATCAGATCCCGATACTTTATGTGGTTATCTTTCTTTTTGTTTGCTGATCCATTGAATGACGGAGCAAACTTAGGAATACGTGATTTGTATAGTAGTATTGGTTCGTAAAATAATATATCTTACAGAAAATGAAAAAGTACAGTTATTTTGATTAATTATAGACAAATTGTCAATCACTAGTCAACATCGATTCAGAGAACCCATTTATAATTCACATGGACATGTTTGTACTTAAATGGCTCTGTTTCTGAACATCCTTGTATGGCTTTTAGGATATATAAGCTAATGTTGCTCATCTGATGGTGCTTAAGTTTGCTTCATTTGTTAATTAATGAAAGTTAATAAAAGTACGATGAAACTGATTTAATGACTCATATATGATAAAAAAATTTTTGACTTGGTTTTTTTTTGGCAAAAGTTGATCGCGCATGTACACAATTTACACATAATTAAGATTAGGTTGTATAATTATATCACAAAAATTCGATAAAAGAGCCAGGTATCCTTTCCAAAACAAACTTGTTCATTCACTCAATGAACCTTTTATCTCCACTTTAAGCTGATGAGCAGAAATAAGGCGTACATCCATTCAAACATCTTTTACTGTATCTTACTAATATCAATAGGATTTGGTGGAGGACCATTAACTTTTTATAACAAGAGGGATTTTGTGCGTCAAAGAGGTAGAATGTTGTATTGCAAACATCTGTAGCTTAATGGTTATTAGTTACCTAGTTACGAGAAGGGGTATCTGAGAGTAATTGGTTTTGATTACTTTGAAGGGGTTCTCAAATTCCTTAAGTAGGGAGTATTATAATGTTACGTCATCTACCATAAAGCATATGTTGGCTCAACTGAGATTGTTGGTATATCTCGTGCTGGTATTTGGAAACTCTGAATCTTCCAAAATAATGATTTACTATCCTTAGTTGGGAGAATAAAGACATGTAATTGCCACAAGTCTGTATTCGAATTCTTTGTGGAACCTGACAGCCTTTTTTAATGTTTGTTTCTTAATTCTTTTTCATATTCCTCTACTGAAGATTTGTGGGTGACAAAGGCAATACCATCGAAGACCTTCTGGATGCATACTTGGCATATCTTCAAGTAAGTCAGACACAGCTTGAACTTTGTGGCACACTTAAACTGTAGTGTTAGTTGTTTGGGGAACATACCAGTGTGATGCCTATCTGCATTGCCCAATATATAGTATAGGTTTTGTGTGTGGTCTTCATGTTTGTTGAGCGAAACTTTCTCATTACTGCTTTCTTCCAGAGTGGGAATGCTAGTTTGTTAAACTGGAAGTAAACAAATTTGACAATGTGAGTTAATGGTGGAAAAATGTTCAGTGGAACAATTCTCACCACGGTTCCTTCCTAACTATTAAGTTAAAAAAGAAAATTGGCGCAAATGAAAGCGAATCCTGTAAATTTTTTATGCTTTTATTCAGATAAAAAAGCACCTAAATTGCCCTGCTGTATATATAGTTTTGATATGTTCAAAGAGCCTGTTTGCTTCATTTGGTATAAATGCTTCTAACTGTTGCGTCCTTAGCTTAAGTTAGGACAATTATTTCCTTTTTCAGTATATTTTATTTTCAGTATGCTATGTGCTTCTGTCTTCGGCCCCTCGCAAACACTTACACGAGAAAAACCAAGATTTGACTTCGAATTTTGTTTTTGATGCTTGATTCGACATCTAATCTTGTAATAATCTTGTGGTTTTAGTCATATAACTTAAAAGAAGAGGAAGCATCAGATTACGCTCCAACTATCATTGGCTTGCAAGCTAAAATAGGAATCTGCTAGGAGTCTAACCTTATTTCATACAATCTAAGAAGTACTCTTCATTTGGTGCCTCTTTTTGACCAAATAAAAGTTTCTATTTGACAATGAGAGTTGCTTCAGCATTTTGTCAAAAGTGAAAACTCAATGCTAAAAGAGGGAACTAGTCTGAAGCAGTTGTGTTATCGTAACATGTCTGATTTCTGTGTAATGAACAAAAAGGTTTTGGTCATTGGTGCATGAGTTTGTCATATCTTGTGATTAAACTTTTCGCAATATTTTATCAGTCGGCTGTTAAAATCTCACAATACGTTTGGTTAGGCTTTTAAACTTTTCGCAATATTTTATCAGTCAGCTTTTAAAATCTCACAATACGTTTGCCCATTTATGTTTGGTTAGGTAACTGTAGTCAATCCTGCCATGGACAGAGCATTACTGCTGTTGCAAAACTTCGCCATGGATGCACGAAATGGAAAGATTTCTAAAGATAGATTAAGGTTTGGTGCTCCCTGGAGGCATCCCCCACAGACGGACAACCCTTCTGAATGCCATGAGTGGGCTAAGGTCCAACTCATGGACTTTGTGCAGTCTCTAGTCAACACAGAATTTGGGGTACTTATATTTATCGTTCTCATGGTGGAATTCAAATTTGTTGTTTAAGCATTGGCTGGAGCTTTCTTGAGTTAATAGTTTATGGCCTTTATATAATTTTGCATTGCTTTATGAAGTACTCATATCCTGCAGCTTTCTAGCAACTATAAATACTTCATGAATGATTTGATTGTATTTTACGTCCTCACTCAATGTAGGTTAATTATTTTGCTGACTGGAGCTTGGAGATCTTTGATGATCCTTCTACTGTTGCATTGCTGGAGGTAATATTTTATAGAAGTTCATTATCCTTCTACTGTTTATAAGCCACTTTTTTTCCTTTCTTCTTTTCCTTTTTTCTTTGTCTTTTTTTTTTCTTTTTGGTAGGGGGGTTGAAAAGATTGTTTATTCTGTTCACCAATATTTGGTCAGACAACTTAAAAGCATTCATATACTTGCAATAATGACCCAGAAGAAAACTGCTATGCATTGTTGATTTAACTTTGATGGTCGTGTTAGTGTGATATTTGTGTTGAAAGAGTTATACTTGTCTTTAGTTTTCCAAACCCTGAACGTTTTGGTAGAGAACTGAACTTAGGCTTTGAAAGGTTTTAAACTATGATGTCAGGTTTGTCTCTACAACCCAAAGAGAGCTGAACTTTTGAGGATTTAATAGGTTTATAAAGTTGCTGTAAGTCTAAGATGTCTACCCTTGATTTCAAGGTTTCTTTACATCAAATTCTTCAAGTTAAATTCACTACTTATTTGACAACATTGATCTCGGAAAGGTGGTTGTGGTGTTCTTGGTCCAATTTGTTAAACTTTTAAGGGGATCTCTACTATGTGTATGAAGAATATATTGCCCTTCTCTTTTAGTTACTAATGTGATTGTTCTATAGGTTGGTCTGCTCTATGTCCAACGTGACCCTTCTTTCATTCGGCCAATAACACGTGGCGTTCAGAGATGCCTAGTTAGATGGTAAGATACTTTCATCAAGTTGAGATCAAAGCTGCTATGCAATACCATATGCTATAAAAGTATAACTATGTGCAATATTTCAGGCTTGTCCAGGAGCAGATGCAAATGAATTCTAAGGAATCAATTCAGTACCTTTGGCAGAGAAGCATAAGAGGACGCAGTTATCGCCATTTGATGTTAGAAGTACGGTGAAATTGGTATTGCAGGTATGACTAATGTTGAATGCCTTAATTTATAACTAAAACAAGCAGCACTTCACTGGTCATTACTGTACTAAATATTTGGTAAACGCTGAAGAATTTTAGTGACACTATCCTTGCGATGCCATTTCTTTGGTTTTAGAAAAATAGTCAATCCAATGACATAAGCCTAGCCAATTGGAAAAACAAAATCTGGTGACCACTGACCACATCACAGGTACTATCCAAACAGTTCACCTGGCTGATCCGAAAATGTTCATGTTTGGAACTGCTGGGAAACACCAAACTGAGAGAACCTCTTGCTTAAAATAGAGTGATATTCAGACCGCCAACACTTAGTCTTCATGGTGGCGAAGTATGCAGATTAGTGAGGTGGTGAGCACATAAGTGCCCCACAAGGAGTTTTTTTTCCTTGTTTTGCATTAAGATATTAGGCTTCCTGCAAACGCATTCAATGACAAGATGTGATTTGCCTCTAACTTCTTTTTAATAGAGATGCTTTTGCTTTTCCTGCTTGTCTTGGAGCATTTGCTATAGTTTAGCCACTCAGAAGAAGCTTGCTTTAACTAGGCTACTATCCTCTCGATGTAACAACTGCTTTCTTTTAGTAAGGAAGGGTCTTTATTCTGTCAGTGTTTTAGAATTTTGAACTCTGCCTCAGTGAATTGATCATCTTTCTTATTTTTGTGGCAGTGAAAGTTGAAATCTTCATTTTTGTTATTCGGGAATGTAAAAAATGAGTAGCCACATTGAACTATCGAAGGGTCAATAAGGCACGAATCAGGAATTGTAATCTACCACCCTGCAGCCTGTTTAGAGAGATTTCTGCTGAGCTTTGTGGTTATTTAACCAGCCTGTCAAGCTGATCATCGAGACACAGACCAAACTGATATCCAGTTGTGAAATTTTCATGGGCTGGAGAGTGAGATCATGGCTCGTCTCCCATTTGAGGCTTTAGAGGATTAACAGTGAGAATTTGTGTTCGAGAATGTTTGTGGAGAAGCATAAAGCCGTGAGAAACTGTTTTTGAGAACGTTCCTGGAGAGGTATAAACCCAACCCATCCGGATTTGTCTACTGGAAGCAGTATATTTATCTTTGGTGTACTAGTGATGGTCGGTTGTCGATCGCAGCTTCTTAACCTTGTATGCATGCAGAAATTTAACTCACTGGGCTCAAATTCCAGTAGCCGTCCAATATGGACATTTATTTTACCTCGATTCCCTATATTTTGCGATACAGAACTGATGGTGTATTGAAGTTTCTCATAGCTTTTATCCAAATGCTGCACTTTGTATGTAACGTACTACTTGCATACTTCTGTTTTGCTGTATACTGCAGTCACACGCTTTAATTAGTTTCAATGAAACAGATGAAGAAAACCCACAATAAACTGAAATTTACATTTCAAGATTGTAGTAGCACTCATAATAAGATGGCGACAAATAATTCATGTATTACTGACCCTACGCTTTTCTCTCTTTTTTTTTTTGTTTTGGGTACCGGCGGTGTTCTCGTTTTCCAGTTTCCACACTTGCTGAGTAGCCAGCCCTGTATAGAAACCATTTTCCACACATAGATCAATGAAGAGATCCTGTAGGGCAGGACAAGAGCAAATTAGTAATGAAGGCGGCCTTTTTTTTTGCACGGAGCGCTGCACTCTGATCATCCAACAACTGTCCGCAACAAATGGCAAAAAGGGAGCAAAAAAGTAATCAATGGCATGTCCATAAAAAGATATGAATGTGGTTAAATCTCTCAAATACAATTATGGCTTTTTGTCGTGAGCTGTGTGGCATGCTAAAAAGCAGAGTTACACTTTAAGATTGGATCCGATCCATAACTAGAGTTAGACTTTTTCCTTCCAGCAGCCAAACATTCCCACTGCCTTAATTAGAAGCTTTTCAATCCCCACCAATATCTTCTTTTCTTGGGTCTCATCCATCAAATACTTTTATAATGAAATTCCCATCTTCCGATGATCATGGCATTGTTGTCTTCCATCTTTTTTTACTACACTACTTGTGAAGAACCACATATTTATATATATATATATATATATATATATATATATATGTAAGCTGAGAGAGAATCAAACGAGAAAGAAGAGTAGGGAAGAAGAAAATGGAAAGTGAAGGCAGGAAGTCCAGCAGGTTTAGGAAGGCAATGAGAAAATGGTTGAGATTCAAAGGGCTGAATTGTTGTTGGTCATCACCAGCATTGAGCCACAAAGTTGCGAATATCTCGACCCGTATCGAGGAAGCTGCAGCAGCAGCAGCAGCAGTTCAAGCTCAAAGCCGAGTACTCCCGGCCCGCGGGGAGAAAGAATCATCATCGAGAAGGAATAGTAATAACAATGAGGATGAAGAATCGGAACCGATGATAATCAACATGGCGGATGAGGCGGCACCGGCTGGCCGGGGTACGACGAATTTGGCCATGTTGTTAGCTGCCGAGCGTCACTTGCGAAAGGCGGCGAGTTCTGGCAGGAAGCAGCTCAAGAAGCCATTGATGAGATTGTTTGAAGAGATGGAGAACGTGAAATCCAAAACCAGAATGGGTTGATACATATAGCCAACAAAAGAAATGCGGTTCCATCATCCATTTTGTTCAAGCTGCTATAATCATATCTCATGATCAAATGCATTTGTAGAATGATTTCGTATTTTCGTGTTTCGGGATGTTAGAATTTCTCTGTTGCAAATTCATCGTGTGTTATACAACGAAAAACATTATCTTACGATAATTCAATATATTCCTTTGTTAAGCGTGTTTAATGTTAATTTTCTCGACAACTTGTAGTTAATTTCCATCTTCTGTTTGGTTGTTCAATTATTGTTTCCTAAAGAAGAAGAAAACAAAAAAGAAGATGAATTTTTTACTTACAAACTAGTGACTATATTGAATAGTTTACTCTTTTGCGAGCAATTCGGTCTAACCGACCAATCAAACTCAAAACCAGCATGTTAAGGTGTCAAATTCAGTTCATATAATGACATGTCGATCTACAATACTCTTATAAACTGATTTTTTTTTTTTTGGATAAAATTTTACTACCTCAATCAAAAAAAAAAAAATCCACAATCCACATTCAATTTCAAATTTATATTAAAAATAGTAAAAAAACTTAAAATTTGGTGTAGAATATTTTTTTGGAACGTATTGAATATTAGATGTTTAATAAGTCTCTTATTAAGCTCATCATGATTGATATTAATTCCATATATATATTTGTGAAGAAAATTTAAATGGTTCTTAAGTTATGTTGTTCACTAGGCTGATTTATGTACTTATCCCCTAGGTTAACAATTTCAATATACTATAGAAATTGTGACTCAGAAGATGGAACGACGGACAAGTACTAGACTTGAGTCCGGATCAGTGGGATCAATAACTTCAGATATTGGGCGTGTAAAAAAACCTCCCTAAATTAATTTTTTTATAATTAATAATCTCTAAAATAAATTTTTTTTGTCCCAGCTTGCGAATAGTGCAAAAAACGGAAAACATTGATTAATTTATAAGATAAGTTTTTTTAAGAATCTCCTATGTAAATATAGGTCTCTACAATTTCTTAAATTAATACATATCTGGAACAAAAATTAAATTTGCAGATTAAATATTTTTTTATATTTGCAATTAATCATCATTTTGTTTCGTTAAAAAAATTATAATATTGTAAATAGGATTTCAACTAACTTTTGTTGATGTGAAAACAATAAATTTTAATATTTTTTCTTAATAAGAGTAAAAAAAACTTTAAATTAATTAATTATTAATTTATCAATAAATTAGTAATTATTAATTTATTGATAAATTAATATCTCTATAAGTTAATAAATTTTGGAGGTAGGTTCTATTCCGTCCCATAATTATTGTCCAGTTTTACTAAAATGAAAGATTTTATTTTTAGTCAAACTTAACATTTTACCTTAAACAACCGGATATACCCCTACATAAGTAATTGTTTAACCACTAAGATTTTATGGATAATATTTTTTACTAAGGACAAATGTATAACTTGATCCATAAAAAGTCAAATTGGACAATAATTTTGGGACAAAATTTTTTGGGCAAAGTGGACAAGAACTCCGTCCCATAATTATTGTCCACTTTGCCTAAAAAATTTTGTCCCAAAATTATTGTCCAATTTGACTTTTTATGGATCAAGTTACACATTTGTCCTTAGTAAAAAACATTATCCATAAAATCTTAGTGGTTAAACAATTACTTATGTAGGGGTATATCCGGTTGTTTAAGGTAAAATATAGTTAAATTTGACCAAAAATAAAATCTTTCATTTTAGTAAAATTGGACAATAATTATGAGACGGAGGGAGTACTATATATGTGCGTGTGTACAAGTTATAACTTTGTAAGGGTGATATTAGGTCGTAATTATGATAAAAATTAAACCCAAAATTTAAGTAATAATTTTCGCCTTACAAATAGGAAAGTACTAGTAAATAGTAATAGTAGAAGTACTTTCAAATTTCATACGGGTCTTTGACCCAAAAAAATTCCTTAAAAGAAAGGTAGACCAAATTAATTTTTTTGAAATTTGTGAGGACAAAACTATATCCTTCGGATTTTCAAAATCAGAATCATTATTAAAATTAAACTTCGGTCTTCCAAAATCCGAATCATCATATAATATTAAAATAATAAATATTTTTATTTTTTAAAAATACAACCAAAAGAGGTCAGAATATGAACAGTCGACTTTGGATTTTACAAATCCGAATTTAATAAATTAAAATAATTAAAATAGAAAATTGTGGCGCCAAAGTTTTGAATCGGAAAATCGGATTTTGGAAATCCGTCTTTATTAATATTATCATTAAATATTATCATTAATTCAGTATAATTCATCTATACTAGTGTTATGTATTATTTTTACGCACTAGTATTATGTAGTATATTAATACTGATACCCATTATACATTACTGGTACTAGTGTTACTTATTACTGTTAAATCTATTAGTTATTATATATTATCATTAATTCAGTATAATTCATTTGTACTAGTGTTATGTACTATTTGTGCGTACTAGTATTATATAGTACATTAATACTAATACCCATTATACATTACGGGTACTAGTGTTACTTATTACTTATTAATCTATTAGTTATTATATATTATCATTAATTCAGTATAATTCATCTGTACTAGTGTTATGTACTATTTGTGCGTACTAGTATTATATAATACATTAATACTAATACCCATTGTACATTACGGGTACTAGTGTTACTTATTACTTTTAAATCTATTAGTTATTATATATTATCATTAATTCAGTATAATTCATTTGTACTAGTGTTATGTACTATTTGTACGTACTAGTATTATGTAGTACATTAATACTAATACCAATTATACATTATTGGTACTAGTGTTACTTATTACTGTTAAAATTTTTTAGTTATTAGATATTATCATTAATTCAGTATAATTCATCCATACTAGTGTTATGTACTACATACTAGTATTATGTTGTACATTAACTATTATCCATTATACATTACTGGTACTATTGTTACTTATTATTGTTAAATCTGTTAGTTATTAGATATTATCATTAATTCAGTATAAATTCATTTGCACTAGTGTTATGTACTATTTGTATGTACTAGTATTATGCAGTACATTAATATTATTAACCATTATACATTATTGGTATTATTGTTACTTATTACTGTTAAATCTTTAGTTATTAGACATTATTATTAATTCAGTATAGTTTATCTGTACTAGTGTTATGTACCTTTTAAGCATTTGCACTAGTATTATGTACTATTTGTACGTACTAGTATTATGCAGTACATTAATATTATTAACCATTATACATTATTGGTATTATTGTTACTTATTACTGTTAAATATTTAGTTATTAGATATTATTATTAATTCAGTATAATTCATCTGTACTAGTGTTATGTACCTTTTAAGCATTTGCACTAGTATTGTACGTACTAGTATTATGCAGTACATTAATATTATTAACCATTATACATTATTGGTATTGTTACTTATTACTGTTAAATCTTTAGTTATTAGATATTATTATTAATTCAGTATAATTCATCTGTACTAGTGTTATGTACCTTTTAAGCAAATAATCGAATTTTCAGAATCTGAGTTAACCAAAAAATTAGATTTTCAAAATCAGGTCATAGGGTTTAGGATTTAGGGTTTAGGTTCGGATTTTCCAAATCCGAGTTTAGCATGAACTCGGATTCCTAAAATCCGAGTGTAACTTATACTCAGATTACCAAAATCTGACTTTTGGGGTTTAGGGTTTAGGTTCGGATTTCTAGAATTGGAGTTTAGGGTTTAGGGTCGGATTTTTGAAATCTGAATTTAGTTAAAATTTCTAATATCCGATTTGGTTCAAAAAGTTGGATTTTAGACTTTAGGGTTTAGTTCAATGTGCCTTGTGTGGGTATGGGCACTACCTTGGTGAATGTATATGTAAGTGGTAGACACGGACAAATCCGAAAGTAGTCATTTTCTAAAAAACTCAGATTTCTCAAATCCGAGCGAAATCCGAGTCTCTTTCCCTTATATAAATTAATTGCCTTTTCTGTTAAATTTCTTGTTTTGCGAAGTTTCAGTATTGTTGGTGCCTGGCTTTAAACATTCAATTTTTTTTTCCCAAAACTGTAAAGGTTTCGGATTCCCGAAATCCGAATGTCTTCAATTTGTAAAGAACGCGGATTTGTAAAATCCGATTGTGGAAAGCATCTGGCACTTCACATTTATTAAGAAAACAGGGAAGATTCGGATTTCGGAAATTCGATTCGTGTAAAAAAAAAATTACCAACACTTGTACAAATTTTCTTTTTTTCTGAAAATTAATATTTTAATCATAAAGTCGGATTTCAGAAATTCGGTGTTTGATTTATTATGTCATATAGAAATTTACTTAGTTTTAGTTTTAATTAAAATAAATTCAGATTTTTAAAATCCATTCTTACTGAAATCTATTTGTACTTTGGATTCGGATTTTGGAAATTCGAAGGATATAATTTTGTCCACATGATTTTTTGAAGGTTTATTTTTGTCTAGGTCCTTTTATAGCAAACATATTTAGGTCAAAAACTCAATTTCAGACAGCAAATGGAACTTGGGTAATTATTTATAAAAGGAAGGGGGAAAGAGAAAATTTCGGAAATTTGGCTCTTGCATCTCATCAGTCCCGGTTCTTTTCCAATTTTCCACAGCAAAGTCTACAACACAGCGAACAACAATATGTTCGACGAATTGCTCAATTGCAGTTGTCGAACATAAATTCCTCTCCTACTGAGTCGGCATGGAAGCAGTTTGAATTGAATAGATGCTTGGTGAAGAGACAGAAGGATGAGTGTAATTCAAAAGGAAACCATTGAAGTCACAGCCCAGAGCATTGGTATCACCAACTTATCCCAAGATGCGGCTCTTGCTCTTGCTCCCGATGTTGAATATCGGTTGCGTGAAATCATGCAGGTTCCTCTTTTTCTTTTTCTATCTCTAATTCTTTGTTAGGTTCGCTTGAGTTGTTTATTTCTTTAACGACATTACAAAGCTGATATTATGTATGTTTGCTTGAGGGATATTAGATTGGCATCTGAATTTTGTAATAATGTGGATAACTCTTGTATTAGATTTCCATCGTGCAAATTCCTTTTCGAAAAAGTAAAAAAGAGAATTGAAAAGAAGTGCTCTGAAGAGAGCTTTATAAATCATACTGGTAATGGAACTATGCCCAATTCTTCAATATAAATTTGGGACATCTTACAAGTGATTTTTAGTTGTTAATCTGAAAGGAAACTTAATAAAATATAAGGAAAATGAGGCTCGCTTGAAGCCAGACTTTCTGGCTGTGAACTGCTTCGGTAGATGTACTCTAGTATAAGGTGACTTTTATGTGCATTCGGGGCCATCAGGTGCTAGGTAACTGCTATATTGCATCAAAATGGATATGAGTGAACTAGTATCTCACAAGAGTGACTTCTTGTGTTGTTGAACTTTCCCCAACTTTTAGAGTCCAACCATGGTTTTTGCCTTTGCCTTGATAAAACCTGGCCTTTTTTTCAGTCTCTCAGTCCCCCCTCAGTGATTTTGTTTCCCTCCATTTTGATGTCTGGCTGATAACCACTAGGTTATTGCTTCAAAGCTAAATCAATTTAGTGATGTCCAACTGGTAACCAGTAGTTCAATGCTTAAAAGCTACATCTAAGTTGTAATTTATTAAGACAAGCTTAAGTTCATCCTTGCTAAACATCTTTGTTGAATCCGGTGGCCAATTTTTTATTATTGAACAATGGGGTAAAGCCGTAAAGGCTAAGATAGTTTCTGCTTTTCTCTTTAAAGATAGTGTTGGGTTTCAAATCTGAGGGTACTTGTCATTTCATTTCAGGAAGCAATCAAATGCATGCGACATTCAAAGAGAAACTTGTTGACTGTGGATGATGTTGATAGCGCGCTTAAGCTAAGAAATGTTGAGGTAATTTCCATTTTCATTTTATCAGCCTTTCCCTAACCTACAGTGCAACTTTTGGGAAGGGAGTACGTTGATTTACTTTCATAATTTGACATTATGTTTCATTCTCTTGTCTAACACTTCAGTTTTGATCATAAAGCTAAAAATTCTTAGCACACAAATTTGTCAATTTTCAAAAACATACCAAACTATTAACATTTTCTGGTATATTTGATCTCTGGTAATCTGCAAATCTTTTCATTTCTAGCTCCAGTTTGTGTTCTCGACTCTCTAACGCTATTTAAAGAGAGTCTAGCATGTGCTGGATTTGTTGTCCACCAGAAGAATTCCACGTATTATGTTACTGAGTGAAATGTCTGTTCCCTAAAACTTGTTGTGCATCTCTCCCCCCTCATTAATAGAAGGAGAGAAACAGAGGGAGAGTACATGTTGGCTTTGGGGAAGGTATGAAAATCATGCAGTAAAGAACCTGCGTGAACTTGGCTTTCAAAAGAAATGTAAAAATGAAGTCCAAAAGTAGAAAATTGAATCATACAAAGCATGAAGGATTTTTCCCTTTGATGAGTTTCTTTTACGGTGCTCAATATAAATATTGTATGAAACTCAAAACGTATAAGAGTTACTGATACCTTGTTTTCAAGTTTGAAGAGCTTGGAGTAGTCTTGAATTTGCTTCATGCTATTTTCTGTGGGTTGAGGTGACTTCTATCCTTATTTTTGTATATTTTCAGACTGTGTTTCAGAATGATGTGCTTTTAGTCACTTCTTTTGAAGAGCTGCTTTCATATTGGTTACAGAGGAGTATGAATGTAATGGAACTGGAAATATGCAAATTATTTAATTTCAGATTTTGCCATTTGATTGTGGCAGTCGAGTAAATTCTTCAATCTCACTTCATTACTTTGATAATCTGATATCTGCTGATTACTGCAACGATTTTCTAACAAGTAATAAATTTCTTACTTGAGTTTCCAGCCTCTCTAGGATCTCTCTGATTCTCCCAACCATTTTAAGAATTTTTTATATGCCCATTTACATGCATTAGCCAATTTCTTCATGTGTACATGTTCTAAGACTGTTATTGGGTTCACTACATGGAACATATTGCCTTGTCGAGCTGAGATCAATTCTCGGTTGAGTAGGGTAGCACATTTGGTAAACACATGTTAAGTTCTCATGAGAACCATCTTTTATGTCATTGACTACATAAGAGCTGTGAATTGGTGGAGACTAGCTAAAAATCTAGCCTGCATTGGTGTATTTGGTCTCTGGTTTATTGGCAAGCCTAAGACACTTGATAAATTTTGAGTTCCTCTGTCTCTACAGGATACTCCTTTCAATAATGTTGCAGATCCTTTAGACAATTCATAGAGAAAATTACTTGACTTTTTTTCAGAATTATCAGTATGTCCGTGAAAGTAAACCTTCTTAATTTGCATAAATTTTGCACCTACCTTTTTGAAGTCAATTATATTCTGTTAACTTATGGTTTTTGCAGCCAGTTTATGGTTTTGCTTCTGGGGATCCTTTACGGTTCAGAAGAGCTCTTGGACATAAGGACTTGTTCTATGTTGATGACAAAGATGTGGATCTGAAAGATGTGAGTAACAATAAATTGTGGCAACCTTGTGAATTAATTGCAGGAGTCTTGTTTGAATTTAGTGCTTTATTTCTCAAATCACTTTTCATTTAGGTTATTGAAGCTCCGTTACCAAAGGCACCATTGGACACTTCAGTTGTTTGTCACTGGCTGGCTATTGAAGGTGTGCAACCTGCTATACCAGAAAATGCTCCAGTGAAAGGTCTGCCCCCAGAAACAGATGCATTCCTCTGTCTAATAACGAATCTGTACCTTGATGGCTTATTTCTTGAGCTTGCATCACTAATAAAAATGCAGATCATGAGATTGTTTATTGTATATTTTTCATTTAACCCTTGTAATTTCCCTTAGCTACTGTCAGACACACAACAACTAAGCCTTTATCCTACTATTTGGAGATTAAAAGAAATACTGAAGTGGAAAATAAAGATTATCATCAACAGTGACCCATGCTGGTCCCAAACCTGTGATCTCCGTGCTATTAGCATGATGCTATAGCTAACCGAGCAAGCAGGCCATGATTAGGCACTGTTAGACCAACTAAAAAAATCAAATGAAATTATAAATGCTTAAAAATTCAAAAGAACCGAATGTAAAATTCTTAATTGGATTACATGAAATTATAGTTTTAATTATGCCATCGTAGGCGGGATCCATGTGAAGTATGTTGCTTGCAATATTCGTATCTTTGCCTGCTTCCCATGTTTTAGCTTTGGCCCCATCTGAAATAAATATGTGAAGGGGTAAAGTTCTACTGCAACCATGCTATGTTACTATTTTCGTTGTCCTTACTTGTAACTTGGAATAATTTGATCTGGAGCTTATTTAAGTGGGTATGCCTGTGGTTTGTTGAACCACACCAGTGTCAAAGTTAAAAAAGAAGACACTTTTTTATGTAACTTGATGTTCATGATGTCCGTCTTCATGAGGAGTCAGTTGTACATGGTTTGATCCTATACCGTCGACAGTTTAAGCTTCGGAAATTGTTGACGGGGGATTGCATAGAAGAAAGTGAGAGCTTCAGAGGTGTGATTAACAGTTAAAAATAGTGAAGAAAAATGTAGCCCTTAGGAATTTTATGACTCTCCAAGTATATGTAATTGAGCATACTAAGTTCTGGAGTTCCAGCATTGTTTACGTGTATCCAAAGGGTATTTAAGAAGTCGGGGTTTGTTCATATGCAGTAATTGGTCCTCCTGAAACAAAACAGCTGGAGCCGAAGGAAGACGGACTTCCTGTCGACATAAAGTTACCTGTTAAACATGTCTTGTCCCGGGAACTCCAAGTAAGATATTCAAACAAAAGTTCTTTTTTTGAGGTATCTAACTGTAACTTTTGTGACTGACCTACAATTTATTTATATGCAGTTATATTTTGATAAAGTAACTGAGCTAACAGTTAGTAAATCCGATTCAGCACTTTTCAAAGAAGCTTTGGTTAGTTTGGCAACAGACTCTGGGCTTCATCCTTTGGTTCCTTATTTCACATGCTTCATTGCAGATGAGGTATGCTATTAAGTGAATTAAGTTTCCAACACAAGTCCCATTTGCTGCACCTTTTGCTAATTGGGTTATATTCTCAGGTGGCTCGTGGTTTGAGCAGTTTCCCATTACTTTTTGCTCTGATGCGTCTTGTCTGTAGCCTGCTCCGCAATCCTCATATCCACGTGGAACCTTATGTGAGTCACTCGTTGTGCTCTCTGTGGGGATATTTTTCTGATAATCTGGTTTGCCCTAACAGTATTGTTAATTTTAGTTTTCTTAAAAAAATTTCATCCTCCATTACACAATAAATTTCTGTCACTGAAAGAAAAAAGTGAAAGAGAAGTTGTCGCCAATGATTAAAATGGAAAAACGGGACTAAGAGTTGATATAAATGAGTACAAGAAACTTTGGATAAGCGTTATCAATAGATGCAAAAACTAAATGGCTTGCTTCTGAAAACTTGTCCTGTCAATTATCTGGCTGTGTTCCATACTTCCATTCCCTATTATGATGTATTATGTTCTTTGCCTCTCTCTATTGAATGAGTTGTGTCTCCTTTTTTCAGCTCCATCAGCTGATGCCATCAGTTGTCACTTGCCTTGTTGCCAAGCGGCTGGGAAATCGATTAGCTGATAACCACTGGGAACTAAGAGACTTCACTGCAACTATCATTGCCTCAATATGCAGACGGTAGGATTTAAATTCTTCATTTAAATCTTGTGCCCTAAAATCGAGTAATATAATTCTGCTGCAGTTTAGAAGTGGTTGTGAGTTTGAGTATTGTTAACATTCTTTTACTTCAAATTAAGTCAGAATTCCAAGTTTCTGAAGAATGTAGTAGCTTTGTTTTAAAAAACTTCCAAAAACTTGAGGAAGTTTGCTTTTGAACCAGAGACCTCAATAAGAAAAAGTGAATTGATTGCTTTTGGATCCGTCATTTCTCAGTGTAGGACCTGGAACAATACAATACATTCCGTCATGATTTAGTTTCTGCGAAGTTCTCGACCTTCATGTGGAGCTTCATGAATCAGACTTTTCTATCCTGTGTAAATTAATGTATGCAAGGTTGAGGGTTTTGATTTTCTAGTTAATCTGTTCATTTCAGGTTTGCCCATGTGTACAATAGTCTTCAAACACGATTAACCAAAACGTTGCTTTCTGCGTTTCTGGATACGAAACGTGCACTACCACAACACTATGGTGCTATTCAAGGATTAGCTGCCCTTGGGCCAAATGTGGTACGTTTTCTTATCAACCTCACTGTGGTAGAAAAGAATGCCTTTGGTACTTTTATTCTTTCTTTTACCATCTCTCCTGTTCTTCTGCAGTCTTTTTATTCCTTCCCCCATGTTGGTGTAGACAAGCATTAGAATCAGTTTCTATTTAAGAATAACTGAACAAATATATCCTGGTAGTTTCCTCAATCTAATTAATTTTATGAAATTGGAAAAGGCCTAACATCCTCTTCATCTATGAAGTCTTCACGCAGTACTTGTTCTTTTGATAGTAAACCAAACTCAAAGTTCATAATGGTGAAGTAGTACTATGTTCAAATGAGAGCAGCTTCTAATTTGTTTTATGTGAAGCTACATGCTAAATGGGAACCACTATATCAGGATAATAATAATGTCAGTGCATGAAATGGAAAAGAAGACCACTGAGTCAATGACCTTCCGAAGTGGAAGTGTTTACTTGATAATGCTTGTCTTTTACTCTACTAATTGCCTTCGCTTTCAAATTGATGAGCAGTGAAATTTCGAGAGATTATAAACAATATCTGATCTATGAATTTAGCAAATGAATGTGATCATGTTCAAATTGTGTATTCTTAAGATTGCATTGTCACGTGTGTTAACATTTCTACTTATGATGTACTTGCATAATGAAGCTGATTGTGTTTCTCTTATCAAATACACATCATCGATCTCCCCAAACAAATAAACAAAAACAAAAAGAGCATAGTTCTACTTTCCAGTCCCCTCTCTGTTCTATTTTATTTCTCATATGTCTCAAAAGATTAGTCTTCACAACATCTAGGAACAGGAAACGATGTGGTAGTGCTGATCCTTAGCCTTTTCACCTGGAAATAATATGATTGCTAAGACTGTCTCCCTTATCTGCAGTTTACATTTATTAAGTTATTCTTTAGATGATCTGATCGATTTTTGATAATAGGTCCGACTCCTTATATTGCCAAACTTGGAAACATATCTAAGACTTCTAGAGCCAGAGATGCTGCTTGAAACGCAGAAAAACGAGATTAAAAGACATGAAGCTTGGCGTGTGTATGGGGCCTTGCTGGTGGGTTTAACAGACATCTTTTTCTTTTGGCGATGGTCTTACTTTCTTCTCCTTACATTATCCCCTCTCCCTATTCCTCTTCCCCTTCTCCCATCCTTAAACCACTGTGAATACTTCATAGATTTTTGTCTTCATGCTTGTACCTTTTCAGAGCGCTGCTGGCAAATGCATATATGACAAGCTGAAGATATTTCCGATATTGCCATCACCTCTTGCAAGAAATGTTAGGAAGTCAAACGCCAGGATTGTAGATTCACGTGGATCCTGTATGTATCTTTGGTTATTTTTGTTTTTTCCTTTTGTTTCTTTCTGTGAAGAATACCGATTCCATGCCTACTTTGAACTTTGCCCATAAATTTTTCTTACTCCATGGTAGCAAATGGTGAAAATCAGACTTTGAGTGAAAACTTGTTAAATTCTAGATGAGCTGGAGTTTTTCTTGTGTCTTGGTTACTTGAATTTCACAGAAAGGAAATCAAGTTTCAGTATCTTGAGTCAAATTTGATGCTTCTTTTATTAGGGCGCTGGTGTGTGCCATGTGATCTGCTAAATTATCAGTCATTTTCTTTGTTAGTTCTATCCCTCATTTAATCTTCTTAAAACATATAGATAAATGTAAGAGGCCTGACGTGCCGTTGGAGGAGCAGCCACCCTTGAAGAAAAATGAAAATCACGGTTCTGTAGTTCAATTACCTAACAATTCTGCTGAAATGGAAATTGAACGAAACACTGCTCCTTCAGGGGAATCTGGTTCAGCCTCATCACATGCTCAAGAGATAGAGGATGTTCCATTGAAGAGCAACTCTTCTGAGATGGAAATTGGACAAAATGCTGCTTCTTTAGGTGATTCTGGTGCGGGCTCATCACGTGCTCAAGAAACTCAGACCGTTTCATCTAAGAACAACTCTTCTGAAATGGAAACTGAACAAAATGCTGCTCCATTAGGTGATTCTGGTTCAGGCTCGTTACGAGCTCAAGAGATTGAGGGCGTTGCATCGAAGAACAATTCTACTGAAATGGAAATTGAACAAAATGCTGCTCCTATCAGTGATCCTGGTGTAGGCTCATCACGTGCTCAAGCGATTCAGGTTGTTTCATCGAAGAATAACTCTTCTGAAATTGAAACTGAACAAAACGCTGTCCCTTCAGGTGATTCTGGTGCAGGTTCATCGCATGCACAAAGGGTTGAAGACGTTTTGTCGAGAAAAAGGCAAAGAAAACAGATGGCGGATAAGCAAAGTTTAAGTACTCGAGTGCTGCTTGATCGTGCATGGAAGGACGACTTAGATTCTGGGCGTCTTTTGGTTAACTTGTTTGAACTATTTGGAGAAAGTATATTTCCATTTATCGCAACGCCTGAAATGGCCTTGTTTTTGTAACTCCATGGCATTTAAGCAAATAATTTCAACATAATTTTAGTGTACCCTGGGGGAAATAGTATGCAGGAACTCTTATTTGTAGTACATAGCGCAAATGACCCAATAAAAACACGAAAAAGCTAGATTTTCACATGCAGATACATAACCCTATCCTAGATAAGTTTAGGATACAAATACCATAGCATTGTGCACCGAAATGAACAAGTTCACTCAATCTTTGTCAATTTGAACTCATCAACCTCATAATAAGTGTTGCAAACTCATGCATGGCCGCACTTACTCAAACAAGCAACTCCCTCTTCCAAATAATCTTGTCTACTGATCCAAAACTCAGGTGCATCCTGCAATACCCAAAATTTGATTTCAAGCATCAGCACTATTTGATCAACCAAATTTTTGAACCATCAGATGGCGGAAAACAAAAACTATGGAAGGATGAAATTGCAGTGCCTCTCTCCTAATCCATTCTTGGCAAGTTCTTACGAAGAGAAGACAAGACACCTTCCATGTGTCTGTTTTTCCAATTATGGCGTTGGGTAGGGGAGGGGATAGTGACTAGTACCTTCATGATTCCGGCAAGAACTGCTCCCCCGAGATACACCATATGTTTTCTCCTTGGTGGATCTTCTATTCGCAAACGCAATTTCTGCAATGGAACATGCTTAACATATCACCCAAATTATATGAAGAGGAAATAGACAGTGGATCAAAGGAGGGACACTCATCATAAGGCTATCCACACACACATACACACACACACACACACATGCAAAAAAAGAAAAAGAAACACACACACAATTTTAAGAAACATTAACATAATTCTTATTTTATAGGTCTATGAGGTAAACACAGCACAAGCACAAAGAAGACCTTGCAGAACCTAGGAAATCTTCCAAAAACATTACACTACTTCAAAGGTAAGGAGATGTAAAGAAACTAAAATGCATTTTTGCCATATATAGATCGACAGATAATTCAGCGCTCTCGGGTATTATATCCATTTTCTAATTAACTTCAGAATACTAATTAAAATTGGTGTTATGAATGAAATCTAAAACAGCTAAAACACAAACTCGTCTAGTCACGACGGTTTAAACAAAGAGAGCAGACAAAAGTTTTTACTTAGACCTTTCTCATTTTCCATTCAGTAGATTTATACCAAAACAGAAACCTTCCCAATACAAATTTGGATTTGAGTCTATATAAACCAAACTTGTCTTCAATGAAAGAAGTTTGAAAACGAATTCTGCAACATTATTGTCACCGTCATGAGGTGAGCAGTTCAATTGTGTCTAAGGTATGATGTCTGCACCGTATGATCCCTCATGCTCTAGGAGCAAATCCTACAATATTTTTTCTATTCTCATTATTACTAGCCTTGGTTACAGCTTTTACCATTTATAATATAATTTTCTGCATTGCTAATCGCAAGCAAGTTTCTAATTTGTGTCTGAAGACATACTAGTAATCCATCGACATACCTTTAACCCATCTTTGTTTCCCTTCAAAACCACTTCAAGATATCGGTCTAAAATTTCTTTCTCCAATCTGAAAAACCAAGAAGACAATGAAAGAAGAAAATCTTTATTAAAAACAGCTCTGCTCCTGAGTGCATTACCAAAATTAGAAATCCCAGCCAGGAAAAATTATAAAATGACAATCTGAAATCATCTTTAATATATATATATATATATATATATGTATATATATATATATATAATTAGCAACATAGAAAGAAGGGCAAGCATAGCAGGAGCAAAATATTATGACATTATTTCAACATGAGGCCATAGGTGTAAATAGTTAAACTGGCAAGGGCTTGGAAGTCTTACCTACTAGGTAGTCCAGGGTACATGGTACTCCCTCCACTTAAAACAATATGTTGGTAAAGCTAAACAAAACAAAATCAAGCACTTAAAAGTCACAATACCCAATGGCTGTTATTAGATAATAGCAAATTAATGCTTATAAATTAGCCCCGTACCATCATACGGTTATCAATGTCCATTTCTTGAATGCAGCGGAACACCATATCAGCCATGCCATCACCTTCAACATCAATGAGCTCCTGTAATTTAACTCCAATTTTCACTTATATTGTTTCAATAGAAATCTACTTCTATAGAATGAAAAATCGAAACATATGGAAGACGAGTATCTAGTATCTTGACAATTGTTCATGCTTTTAACTGCACAGAAGTTTTAGGCTTGCCTTGGTTACACACAATGAGGTGGTTGTTTTTTTCAATTTTTCTTCAATTTTTTAATTCACGTTTACGATTTCAGTAAACCTTTTCTCAATACACCTTTCTACATTCAGGATGCAAAGAACACAAAAAAGAAAAGTTTCAAACGGAATGTTAAACAACACAATCCTTGAATAGAAAATGCAAAAAAATCTAAACATAATGTTCATATTGTTCTTTCAAAAAAAGAATGTTCATAATGGAGTAAACTAAACTTTCTGTCTCCAATATGAATTAAAGAGAATAAAGTAACTTACAAATGGATCAACAAAAACTGGCAATTCTTAATTCAGGTATACATGACCATGGAATAGAAGCTGCAACATAGTAATACTGTGCAATCCTCCAGAAGAAAACTTTTACTTGTGAGCTTTTAGCTTCGTTTGCGAGGGACAAATATGAATCAAATGGATGGAACTAAATAAGAATCAAAGTTTACCGGGGTGAAAAGAGCCTCAGGTGCCTGAAATCTCTCCGTTGCAACTTTAAGAGTCCTTCCATCAGGTAGCTGCAGATTCCACTCTCAGTTTATCAGGAAAATAAAGTAGAAAAGGCTATTCAGACTGCAAAACAGGTAATAAATCCATTCTCACAACTTAGCATTTATCCTACTATGGGAGAGGTTGAATACTTCCAAACATGAATGCATTGATCAAAGAGTTTAGACCAGACAGAAACAGTTTCAGTTAATGATAGATTGTGGCATAAATCAGGTATAGGAGCAATTAATGATACTCCCTCCGTCCCAAAAAAATAGTCGACATTGAGTTTTGAGTTTTGTACTGTTTTTAGTACAAATTTGAAAACTCAATGTGGACTATTTTTTTGGGACGGAGGTAGTAGATTATTCCATGAGCAAAAGTTAAATGCAGGGGACAAATTAACTCACGGTGTAGTTCTTAACAAGGATGGTGGTCTCAAGTCCCAGCTGATATTCCCTTCTATAGTCATAACTGTCACCAAGTAGATCACACATAAACTCTCTAATACAAGAAATTAAAAAAACAAAACTTAAAGAAAAGAAGCAAAACGCTGATACGAGCGCTTCACCTGATGTAGCATAGTTTCTCTTTGATATCTCTCACTGTTTCAAAATCAGCACTTCTATTCATTGCATACCTTAGAAACAAAAAAATAATCTCCAATGAGAAACAGAAATATGTCACTCATAGCAGGAAAATGATCAAAGTACCCTCTTCGTTGTAGTAAATCTAGAAGATATGATGTGATATGACGTCCTGCTACATTCATTCTTTTTGTGAGATGAGGAAATGAGTATCCATCAACGACTGGGACCTGAAAAGAGTTAACAAAGATAATTAGTGACAAATCTGGATCCAAAAGAACTTTACTCCACATTTTTTCACTGAAGGGAAAGAAAAGCTATAGGGATCTGATTCACGAGGATATTCTAAACCTAAGACATGCAATAGACTATTTGTACTTGAAACATTTCTACCTTGAAATTTTCGAGGATGACCAAAAACTGAATTCCTTTTAACATACTTTACAATTACCACAGTAGCAATTTGCTAGTCCCCGGCAGAATAGAAACTAGCAGCCTTTAGCAGATATTGGAACTGACCCATAATTATGCATCCCAATAATTTGGAAATTGCATGGAATTAAAACAATAATAATAACTACACGTAAGACATTGGCCACATTTAGGAACAACTTTGGCAACACCTAAAATTGCACAAGATATGTGCTACAGAACACAAAATCCGCGGTAGGAACTTTGAATTTGACCAGGCTTTAAAACTCCAAGAACTTCTAAAAGAAAGGTTAAGGTCAGATATGTTCAACCAACTATAGCAATAACCCAAGAACCTAGAAAACTGAACTACATTCCAATAAGAAAGCTAGTCATATCAAACCAAGCATATATATCGCAATGTGACTAATACAGAAAATAGAAGAACCAGCAACTTACTACGTGGGTAACACCATCACCAGAATCAATAACCAAGCCAGTAAGTAAACCTGGGAATTTCAAATGAATTTATGACATCAATTAGTCGCATGTGGCTTAAGTTTGCAAAAGAGGCTTGTAATAAACAATTTTCTTGCATTTGCACTAGTACTTAATAGCTTAAATTGACTAATTTCAATAATGAAATGCAATGAAGTGTCAGCCACAAGGTTGACTGGTAGCACTGGACTCGGCCTGTGAAAGTATCTCCTTAAAATATGGAATCTAGTTATTTTGTTATTGATGAACTTGTATTGATTCAGAGCAAAGAAAGATAAAAGCATGCTTCATCCCTTCAGAAATCTAATAACTGAATATTGATTTTATCTATATAAGCACCTTGAGCGTATAATGTTAAAACAGCCTGAACCTGAATGAAGACACCCGCAAAGTTATACTTCTCAAACATAGTCTCAACCTGAGATTTAGGGAAAAACAGATCAGGACTTGAGAAAATTACCAAAATGATAAAAGTAGAACAATTTGAATCACAAAATCTCTCTAGAGGAGAAACTAACCATCTGTTCACGATTTTTGGATGGATTCAACGGGGGATCAGTCAGCAAGATCTTACATTCTGTTGGGTCTAACTTCAGGAAAAGAGAGGACATAAGTTAATTTCAACGATAATTAGACCATTGCTGATGAAAAACAGAGTATTTGATCTGGATGAAAAGACACCAAAAAAAAAAAAAGAGAGGAAGAAATAGAGAAAAACAGAAACATAATTGCCAAATTTACCTTCAGTTCATTATAAAATGCATGATCCCATACATGCC